ACCTCCACAGCTGTTGGCCAAGCTGCTTCTCTTGGCTAAGCTGTGAGTTGCCCTACATCAGATTTTCTCTCAAAACACACAGAGTCTCTTCTCCTATCACCGTGTCAGGGGAAGTTCAGGCCTGGCATCAAGCGGCACCACAGTGCCTCAGCCACGCCCACCTCTGGTGCCATCTCATCTCCATTCTTGGTTTTCAAAGGACTTCCTCTTCTACTGCTGTACTACTTGGGCCTTTTCTGCCCTTGGCCCCACCCTCAGAAATCCTGCCCATGGGCCCATTCTTTCGGATTCCATCTCTCACTATTGGAGTTTTCCTCTGGAGTCAACTTTTTCCCCAGAGGACACCAAGCTCCAGTGAGTGGACTCCATTGTAGGTGGTAGGGATGCAAGTGGCAGGAGAAATGTCTAATTTTCAGTGATAGAGTACAGTGGCAGGATTTCCCTCCTACCTCCAACTCTCTGCTCAGCCTTCTCTGGCTCTACCCCTAGCTTGTATATCTAAGTGTCAGGCCTCGGTGGTTTCCTTTCTCCATCTGCACCCTTAGGAACTTAGGGAGTTCATCCAAAGTCCCATCCCCACCTTTTGTGGTTGTGTTGAAACTTAGTTCAACACCATCTCTGGGCAAGAGGCCTCTTAAAAGTCAAAGTCAGAATGCATAACAGGGGCCCTTAAGTTGGACAGGTGGCATATCTCATTACATTTTGAGTAGCTGATGTCTCCTGGGGTTCCTTCAGTCTCCTCTCCTTTCTGGAGGCTGCTCTAGCTTCTTGGTTGGAGGAGCCCTACAGAGACCCTACCTCATAGGAACCCTCTGGACAGGAATTCCAATGACTGGTTCTTTCTAGCCAAATAGGGAGGGACAGTGACTAGAGTCCCACTTTACCCAGAAACGAATTCCTTATAGATTTTTATGAAGGCTTCACCCTCTCCTCCCTCACCTTCTCTTCCATTACCACAACAACCATCAAAGAAAGTCCTTGGGGAAATGCCAACAAATTGGCCCAAACTAGGCTGCTTCCACCTCACCCATGTTCAGCCTTCTAACCAAACTGAGTTTACTCTTCCCTATCTCCTTTTTCTCATTCATCTACAGAAGCCTGGGACATTGAGACTGAGGAGCAAGGGAATATTATAGGAAGATGGACATTCTCACCTTAATCACATGCTTGCTGTTCTTAAGATTACCAAGTAATTAAAGATGTCTGTGTCTTCCTTTGTTCCCTCCTCTTCCCTATATAGGTATAGTTAGTTACCTTCTTATTATTAGCTAAATATACAAAGTAGGCTGTGTAATTTTATTCTTCCATGTAAGCCACAGTGAGGATTGCAAGCAAGTTCCAATCACCACCCTTCATCACCATTCATTAAAAAAAAAACCCTACTGTGCCCTAATTAGGCACCAGGCATTGATTCAAACACCACCCTCTCAACCTGATCTTATTAACCCTACCTCCCATAAAAAATCTCAAATAATTTTCCTAGGAGGTCATATATTCTTTGATAAATTGCTTTTTTTTTAATTTAAAGAAAAATAAAGGAAGCTTTTCCCAACCCCTCAAACTTTGATTATTTTTTACAGGATTAAAAAAAATTATTTTAATGGAATAACTGGGGCTAGTTTTGAAGCTGCTCACCTAGTCCTGTCCAAACAGAATAAGAAAATGTATTTTAAAGAGTTGATCTTTACTCACAGTTTTAAAAGAGATAACTACTAACTATAAAAGCAAAAGATCCTCGTAAGTGGCCAACGCGGCGGGTGGGGGTGGGGGGAGATGCCATAGTAGGGGAGAACGGCACTCCGCTTTCTAGCTAAGGAAAGTTAAATTGGGAAATGGGTTTAGAAATATATGAATGGGTGGAAATTAGGAAATTAAGATATCTTTTTAGAGAGGGATCTCTTTCATAGGTTTGATGGGACTTACTGGGAGAACTTTTGCACCTGAATTTGATTTAGAAATCATATATGTGCCTGCTCTGCAAATCTACACAGACCAGCCATTCTTTTCATTAGAATAGACAAAAATCACACATTTTCACAGTTTGGTGGTAACTTTGATGGGCTATGGAAGGATGCTGGGAGTCAGTTCTCTTTTCATTTGCTCTCCTTGGTGGGAGTTGGGACATCTTTTCCACCCCCACCTCCCCCAGGCATAGAATGTCACATTCACCAGCAGAGCAATGCTCAGGCCCAAGCTCCTTTTCTTGGCTTTCTTAGCAGAGCACACTCTCTCCTCTCTTAGGGTCTCCTTCTGGTGGGCATGCCAGTGAGTGGGGGTGGGTGAGGTGGAGGGGCAGAATGGGGGGAAAGGGGTAGTATCCCACTCAGGTTTGGGCCCAGGGACCTTGAGCCCGGGGTGGGGACATCTGACTTCTGGGCTTGGGTTCCCTGAGAGCCTCATTTGCTTCCTCACACCCTGTCCCCTTCACACCAGGACTGTTTTATTGTTTTATAGCCTTCTTTAGAGTTTCAGTTGCCAAAGATTCGGATGGAGCTATTCTCTACTTTCTCACTTCACCAAACCCCAAGTCTTGCTGTTTTAAGCAGTTTGGTCACTTGCAAAGGCTTCCCTTTCAGATCTTAGCAAATTATAGAAACCTCTAGGCATCTGACTATCTTCAGCTTTCCTTAAGCCCATCCACAGTAATACCTAGCCAAGTGTTAACTCCAATTGGCCCCCCTCCCCCAAGCCCACCCAGCATTTCCCTAACTACTCTTTTTTATTGAAGCTTGAACAAATCTCACATAACTTCTAGTATAAGCAAGTTAAGAAGTGGTTTTTGACTTTCCTCTTTATTTACCGTATCTAGAGCTACAAAATGATTGAAATAAAGGAGTTGATGATACTCACAGCGAATGCAGCCAAAGACTCATATGCCCACCAACCAGCCTTTTCCAAATAGCACTTTCTCCCAACTTACACAGAAGTCTCTGAAAAGATGCTATTTGAAAAGCCTGGGTCATTGATATGAATATGACCCCCCTTGCATTCTGGATATTTGGAACTATTTAAATGTGAGCGAACAGTTGCAGTGAACCTTTATTTAGTGAATAAAAGTTTAAAGCCAAAGGTTATTTATGGTTCTGCAGAGATGGGACCTGAGTGGCTATTTACAAGCACGTGATTCCAATAAACTTTGTTTTATGGCTTGAGAGTTGACAAGCCAAAATATAATTCCCACCATAAATTAGGTTAACAGCATCCAAGTGCAGATGCTTAGTTCCCGGAGCAGCTATAGGCAAGTGAGAGGCTCCAGCTAGCGCCGGGCTCAGAAGGTGACAGTTCTAGTCCCAGCTCCCCTGCTTCCTAGGAGAGAAAACCAGTAAGTCATTTACTACTTTTTCCTGGACAACTCCAAGGTTGGGGAATTTCTCTGCTTCATCTTTTCCACTTTGGGTGAGGGAAAGTTCCCATTGAAGTTAAGTCTAATTCTAGCCTAACCGTGAATTACCAAATAGACTGGGAATCCTGGTTTTCTTCCCTCCCTTCTGGCCACAGAAAATTAGGAATTGAGGACTCCCATCTCACACGAGGGACTGTCTCTCCTCCTCATAATGGAGCATCATATGTTTCAAGAGTGGAATAAAACAGTGGTAGTCTAGTTGGTGAGAGAAAGGTTGAGGATGAAGATGGCTTTGCTTCTGAGATTTCTCAGAGAAGACTGCCATCCTAGAATAAAACTAGAGGAGACCAGAAACTTAAAGCTGAACACCAGCCCCTGTAAGGAACACTGCTTTGTAAGATCACTTTGTGGGTTCTCAAGACGCAAAGCTGACAAAATTATGTCATATCCATAGAGCTGGATAACAATCTAAAGCATTGCCATTTACTTCTAAATCCATCGATTTTCCTCGGTTGTCGTTTGGGTCCTCATTTCCCCTGGAAATTGCTCTTTGTTTTGAATTGGAGCAGAATTGGGAAGAGAAGTCCCAACCATGTCTTCAATAGGAAGGTGGAGACAGGCTTTTGGGGTGCTAGTTCAGGCTGGGAAATTTGAAAACAATCTGAAACTGGAAAGGGGGTCTGAACTGACCCCAGCGCGGACAGATGGGGAGCTGGGGCAGGGGACAGATGCAGCGGCTGCCCGCTCCCCAGTGGACCTGCGCCCACCCAGCCGATTGTGCAGGAAGAAATACACAAAGGCCCATTTTCTCCTTGCTTCCCGTTTTCCCAAGTGAGGAAACCCTGTTACCGGCAGTCTGAGTGGGCGAAGCAACCAGTAAGGTTTTGCCTAAGGGTGCATGGAGTGGGGGAGGTGATGGGGGCCACACTCTCCTACTCCCTGGTTCTGCCCTTGAGGTCTGCGGTCTCCAGCTTCGCAGAGAACTTGGCGCAGTTCCTGGGGGCGGGCACCCGAAGCAGGGAGATCTGGGTATTGGTGGGGTGCCCAGGCCTTGTTATTTTTCTGGGTATCTATGCTTTATTATCCTATGGAATTTAAATGACACCCGTTTTCATTGCAACAGGTTCGGGACCATGAGAAACGGCCGCTGTAAGTACCTTCCCGTTTCTTCCGAATCGCGAAGAGGCAGTACTGATGGCTGGGGAGTGTTGGGCGATGGGCTGCGCCGAGAGTGGATGGGTGAAGAACAGCCGTGCCTCCCCAGGCTTGGCAAATAGAGGGGAGCTCGCTTTGGAGGTGGAGGCTCTAAATTGAGCTCCTGAAAAGATTTTCTGGGGCCTAGTTCACAGTCACTCAACTAAGGGAACGCGCCGCGGGCTCTCGTCCTTGTGTCCTTGGGCCTCTCTGGACCTGCCGGGCTTTCCAAGGCCTTTCCAGCTCGCACAGGTGCAGCTCCGCCGTAGCGTACGTTTCTTTTAAGAGCTTGCAGCTAATTAGCAGCCCGGCCTATTAACAAGCTGCGGCGAGCATCGCCTTCTGTCCGAATCAACCTGCTAAATAAACATCGAGGCAAAATAATCCCTCGCCGCAGCCCAGCCCAGCTTAATGCGGTTCAGCCTGGCCCAACCTTCTCTTGTTTAATAAAAAAAAAAAAAGAAGGAAGAAAGGAAAAGAAAAAAAACACATGCACAACTTAACCCTCCATAGCTGCGGGTGTGTTGGGTTGGCCGGCTTCCGGGAAGGGCTGCGAATTCTGAGCTTTACGTGGAAGTCCCTCCTCTCCCCTCCCCCTGCCCCGGGCTTAGAGTTTGGGCTCCGGTTTGGCGACAAGGGCTGAGCGAGGAGAGAGGGGTAGGAACCCCTTCTCGTTCACCTCTGCTTCCCTGCAACTGCAATTTGAGAATTTTCTCACCAGGATGCTGGTGTTGCAGGCAAATTTGGTGTGTGTGGGGGAGAGCGGGGCTGGTTGAGAGTGCCTTGGGGGCAGAGATTCTTGGGATCCTGGGCTCAGAAGTTTGGATCTCTCTCTGAGTTGCATGTCCCGCGGAAAACAGGTACATTTCTGAGGAGGCCTGTGAAGTCTTCAGGAAGACTATCTCATTAAATGACAGTAGTGGTGGGAGAACTGAGGGAAAAACAGTAGTTCCTCCCTCACTGCAAAACAGAGATGATTATATTTTAATAGGAGACAATATGCAAGGGAGGTAGGAACGAGGCACCCTCCCACTCGGTGAGATGCCCTTTCTCCAGGGTGGGAGAAACCGGGGCTTGGCTCCGGGCCAGGTTTTCTTGCCCTGGAGGCAGCCTGTTTCGCTTCCTGGGGGCTACACTCACCCCCAGAAGCAGAGATTCCGCCCAGTGCATATTCCCTAATACAAATCAGTCTGGCTCAAGTGAAACAGGCTCTGGGCTCCAGACTGGAAAATCTAGTGTCCCCAGACCACCCTGGTCTTGCCCCCTTCCTGCCGCTGCCCTGGCTCTGGGTGCTTATTGGTGCCGATGCTCCCCACTTGCAAACCCACATTCTGGCACCCTGTAGCTGAACACAGCACAAAAAGCCGGAGAGATCAAAAGCATTTGTAGGGGCAGTTGAGCGGGAGGTGAATATTTAACGCTTTTGTTCATCAATAACTCGTTGGCTTTGACCTGTCTGAATGAGTGGAGCAATAAGGTGAAATACAGGTCACAGCGTCTAACAAATATGAAAATGTGTACCCTTACCGGATCTCCACCCAGCCCAGCAGGCTCCCCCAATTTATCTGGTAAATTCTAGACCAGGTATCCCCAGAAAGATGGATGCATGGGAATGGGTGGCATTAGGGGAAGCTGGAGGGAACCCCCTTTGGATAAGAGAACTGGGTGTGGGGTGGGGCAGTCTCAGAATTCTTGTTAGAATTGGTACCCAGGAAATCCCGACAAAATAACTAAAGCACTGGAACCAATGGATGGGGGGCTGGGGGCGTGTGTAATGTGCAAAGTAGAAGCAGGCAACCAACTTTGCCAGACTGAGAAGCTGGGGTCTCCCTGCTGCACCCCACCAGGCCCAGGCTGATGTTTGAAACTAATGTTTGAATCATGAGGGGGAAAATCAAAACAATCGAAAAGAAAAACTTAACACCTCTGCCCTACAGTCAAGGGTACAAAAGCCCCACTAGAGCCTGGGTATACTTCTGCTCCTGAAATCCAAAGGGGCCCTGAGTGTGTCTGTGCTCTTGGTGCCTGAACTGAGGGGTGAGTCCCAGACAACGCTGAGGCACTGGGGCAGGCACAATTCACACACTCTTGTACTCTTGTGTGCTGCTGTCGGCAAAGCAAAAATAATGAAACTTTGTAATGTTTGTAAATGATTTCGAATGACCCTTCGCCCTGCCCTTCACTATTAGTGTGCCGGCCCTGCACAGGGCGGCTTGGTGGCTGCAAGTAGCTCTTGCCTCGAGGTCTGCAGCAGCAGTGGGACAGAGAGGCCAGCCTGGCTCAGGCCCAGGAAGGTAAATGTGCGACTTCTTTGAGAACTGGCTCTGTAAGCCAACCTGGTTTGCCCAGGTGATGGGAAAAAGAATGGGGTGGGGATATTCCCCTCTTGCATCTTTTTCTTCTGCCACTGAGGATGTATTTGTTCCTCTCTGGAAAATACTATTCGATAAGGGGGCGGTTATTTGGATCCGGAGAGGGGGTTAATAAAGCCGCCATTTGTGGGATGGATAATTTTGTCTTCTTTTCTTTTCTTTCTTAAGAAGATTGTTCTGGCTCCTTGGCTGCTCGGTAACCCAGGCCATGTAACAAGGATGGGGACCTCATTGCTGCAAATTGCCACCAAGCCCTTCAGGCTACCTGAAGCATCTCTGAAAGTGGGGTTGCTGTGTCCAGCTGGTGACTGCTCCGAGGAAGAGGCTGGAGATGGCAGCGGTCTGGGTACCAGCTCCGGGTGGAACCCAGAGGTAGTAACGTTGTCTATATATACCCTGTAGAACCGAATTTGTGTGGTGTCCACATAGTCACAGATTCGATTCTAGGGGAATATATGGTCGATGCAAAACCTTCACGTTTCTCCGAAATAGCCAGAGTCGAAAGTGGAGGCCAGAGGCAGCCGGTGCGGGTCAGTCGCCTCTCTATTTTATTACCTTAGACTCCAGAAGGATTGACACGAGCCTGCTGACACAGAGGAGCCTTGTCCTTGAAAAGCCCCTCACCTTTAAACGAGGCTCCTCTGTAAACCCTTAATTGGTTGCATGAATGCAGGGCCAAAGGGCTAGGTTTTGGGGGACTGGGGAGCAATGTGGGTGGCCAGGTAGCCCAGACCCAACTCTGCCCTCCAGAAGCATGAGGTTGGAGGGTGCCCAATGCGGGGGCTCACTGGCTGTTGACTGCCTTGTGGGAAAGGTCTTTGGGAGCCCATTTGGGTGAGAGATTACCTTTACCACCTTCCAGGCCCATCCCTCCTCTGCATGGGCTGAGGGTGGGGGTTTGAGGGGCTCTTGCCTTACCCACAAATCCCAGCTTTGGCTAGAAACACCCTGGCCTGGGCCCTCGCAGAAAGCTGGTGGTTACTCATTGCCTAACTTGATTTAGGCCAGCCAGACTGTGGTAACTTTTGGGTGACCCTGACGAAGACAAAGCCAGGACTAGGCCTTTGTATGTCAGAGTCCCTGTTCCCGCGGGCTGGGCGGAGGGAGCCCTGCCTGCCTGGGGTACTCTGCCCTACTCAGAGGCCACCTCACCCACTCGCCTTTTGGTGCCTTGTACACTCACAGGGGGATGTGTTCCCCCAGGAACTGGACCTACTTTGGGGGGTTGATTTAAGGTGTGGGGGTGAGTGGGGAGGGCACTCAAGGTTAGCAAAGTCAGTGGCAGACAAAAGCTGTAATTACCCGCGGGAAATGAGGGTGCTGGAGATAAGAAGTACATTAACATCTGGTGGGGGCCCGAAAATGTACCATGGCAAGTCACTTGATTACACGTATGTTATTTAGTTAAATTTGTGAAAATTATGAGGTGCTCACCAACCCGGTGATAAACTCGCTCTCTCGCTATTGGCTGTCCTGGTCACATGGCCGCCAACTTTATTCAGTTGACAGCAAGTAGGAGGGCCCTGTGGAAGGAGAAAAAAAGACAACACGAGAAAAATTAGTATTTTCTACCTTCTGAAATTAATGGCCATGAGTTCGTATATGGTGAACTCCAAGTATGTGGACCCCAAGTTCCCTCCATGCGAGGAATATTTGCAAGGTGGCTACCTAGGCGAGCAGGGCCCCGACTACTACAGCGGCAGTACACAGGGTGCTGACTTCCAGCCCCCGGGGCTCTACCCACGGCCGGACTTCGGTGAGCAGACCTTCGGAGGCGGCGGCCCCAGGCCTGGCTCAGCGCTGCCCACGCGGGGTCACGGGCAAGAACCCAGCGGTCCTGGTGGCCACTACGGCGCCCCGGGAGAGCCGTGCCCGGCGCCCCCGGCGCCCCCTCCCGCGCCGCTACCCGGAGCCCGGGCCTGCAGCCAGCAGGGCGGCCCCAAGCAGCCGCCCCCAGGGACGGCACTCAAGCAGCCGGCTGTGGTCTACCCCTGGATGAAGAAGGTGCACGTGAATTCAGGTGAGCCACGGGCCCAAGGACCGCTAAGTCCCCACTGCAGCTCAGAGAACAGGGCCCCGGGAGGGGTGTGAGTGGGTGGGGGCATGTGGGGCTTCAATGGGTGCCGCAATTACTCTCCCCATAAATTTTTATAGCTGAGGGAGCAGGCCGGGACCATGTGGCTATGTGCTTGGCTGTGTGCGAAAAAGGGGGTGGAGATGGGGGTGGGGTGGGGTGAGAGAGGACTCCATTTTCAGAGCAGAGGGAACAGGGTGGAGGAAGGGGAATTTCCAAAATGCCTAGGAATTCCGAAGCTCAAGGTGCACTGGGGTTATGGGACCACCCTTGGGGATCCGGGCCTGTGAACCTGGGAGTGGGTGGGTGTGAGGGGATAGGTGGGAGTGTGTGTGTGCCTGGGAAAGAGGGCGGGAGAGAGAGAGACAGCGGACTTGGGAGCGCGGGAGGGCTGCGGCCTCGGGGCGCGCCAGGAAGTCAGTGCGCCAGCGAGGGGCCTAACTAGTGGCAGGCTGACCTGACTGTGCTGTCTGCTTTGTGTCTCAGTGAACCCCAACTACACCGGCGGGGAGCCCAAGAGGTCCCGGACGGCCTACACGCGGCAGCAAGTCCTAGAACTGGAAAAGGAATTTCACTTTAACAGGTATCTGACGCGGCGCCGTCGGATTGAAATCGCTCATACCCTCTGTCTGTCCGAACGGCAGATCAAGATCTGGTTCCAGAACCGGAGGATGAAGTGGAAAAAAGACCACAAACTGCCGAACACCAAAGGCAGGTCCTCATCGTCCTCGTCGTCATCCTCCTCCTGCTCCACCTCAGCTGCCCCGGGCCAGCATTTGCCGCCTCTGGCCAAGGACCGCCACACGGACCTGACGACCCTATAGAAGTGGGGACCTCAGGCCCATCCCTCCCTGCGCTCCCGCTGAGCCGAAGCTGCGGGGGCAGGCGGGCCTGCTGCCACCTCCCTGGGCTCTAAGGTACTGTGGGGTGGACCTGGGACACGCAGGTCACCCTCGGACTAGGTTAGCATCCTGCCCGAGGGCAGCCCCCTCCCTGGACCCGGGATGGGGATGGGAGGGGGCCGGGGTTCTCCCACTAAGTTTATTATCAAAAGGCAGAAGCTACTGAGAACATAAAACCTTGGAGAGCCATTAAACTCATGAAAATCTCGGCTGTTGGATTTTGAATTTGCAAATGAAGGTTGGATGCTTTATCCTGGTGTGAATATGAATATTCTCCCCCACCCCACCCCTCCAGGGATCCTTGTGGTTTAATAATGTGGGGGAGTTGAGGCAGAAGGTTGGCACCCCGGTGCTAGTTGCTTTCAGTGGAAGCAGGAGAGCTGGACCAAAATTTTTTTTTACTTATGAGTTGTCTATAATTTACTGTGTGAAAAAATTTTTTTTTGCTTCCAGTGGTCCCATGCCCAAAGGAATAAGTCTAAGAAGGAAGTGGAAACGGGTTATTTTATGTTTGGATTGTATTTGCTTAAATATTTATTTGTTGGACAATGGGGTACAGAAGTAACTGACATCTTAATGCCAAAAATCTAAGAATGGTCAAAGGGGCTGAGCTTCAGGGAGCAGAATCAAGAGATGTGTGGACTTACTTCTGGCTGTAATGGGCATTTGGACTCCACCCCTTCCCCACACCCCGGAAATGTGTAGGGGGCTCTTAACTGGGCTGAGGAGGCAAAGGACCCACTCGAAGTTGAGTTCTTGAAAATACGTTTTCACATGTGCTATTTTTCAGCACTGTGCTTATAACCACTTCTGGGTGATTAAAGGAAAGGGGAAAAAAGAAACAAATGGTCCAACATTTTCCTTCTGGAGAAAGAAAACAAAACCTCTATGCTCTGGGTCATTAAATAATGACTGAATTTTCTGTCCCAACTGGATTCCAAATGCCTCCAAATACCCCCAAGTAGCAGTATTTTATGGCAATTAGCATATGGCCTATATGAGAAGAGGGGATGTGGGGTGGGAGAGAGTGGGAAGGTGAGGAAGTCTTGCTTTAAAAAAGAAGGAAAAAACTACTGGAATCTAGAAGTCCATAAAAGTTGGTATTAGGATTATTCCCGTGAAGTTTTATTTAAACAAATCTAAGGAAGTTTTCCTCAACCTGTTAATTAGAAGCAGAAATTATAAAAGAATAAAAGTTTTCAGGCCTTCTTCCTTGCCCTGAGAATAGTGGTTTAAAAACAATCACTCTCAAAACAACAGGAGAGATATTCTTCCATTTTTCTTATGCCTTGCCTGGGAAGAGTTCAAAGCTCATTTTTCTAAAATGCTGACCTTAAGGATAAGGGGGAAAGAGTCAAAGGTAATGACAGAGTTCATATACTCAAATGAAACAAGGCTTTGGAAGTTTAAACCCCAAAGCCTCAGGCTCCAAAAAGAAACCCCTGGCTGTAGCTATCCAGAAGTGACAAAAGGAAGGGTGGGGGATAGAAAGGGTGAGCTTGAAAGGGAGATTCAGAATTTGAACTATTTTTTTCAGTGCTACAAAACACTTTAGGAGGTTTCAGAAGTAATTTTAAAAACATATTTAAATTGAGGTGGGGGAAAGACCTTCTCTGCAGGCATGTTCTTTGGTTCAGTGTCTCCAGAGAGCTGAGGGCAGGTATTCACTGGAGTCCCTAGGCTAAAATTCCACTTCTCTAAAGTATCTTCCAAGCCTTGGTCTTTTGTATTAGACCCTGGGGACAGCTCTTTGTTCCTCCTTGGGGTGAGCCTGGCTTTCAGACTTGCACATGGCAATACTTGAATATCCTCATGTCGGGATATTAAAGATGGATATTCCTGCATTATTCGCATCATTGTTTCTATGACAAAAAGCACAGAGTTCATACATAGTCAAGACGTCTTTTTTCTGATGCCCTCACGTTGAGAAGTTGAAAAGGTATTTTACTGAAGTTCGGCTAAATTACAGAATCAGGTTCATCCAGAGGACAAATTTTCTATTCGATTAGCTGTATTTCAGCCAGGAGAACTGACCTCTAAACCCTTAACCTTTTGGACTCTAACTACCCTTCTTTTCTTTTTTTCCCTCTAACATGGAAAGCAGTCTTTGGATGTAGCATTTGAAAAGAAGCGCTATGCTTAGTCAAACTGGGAATTTGCTAAGATTCTTTCCTAAAACCAAAATCTGTGAATACATTGAACCTTCTCCTTCGGAGGGGGGAAAAGTATATATTTTCACAACATCCAATTACATATAAATTATAAACATTTATAGATTTCCCCCTTCCCAGAAATTCAGTTTACTCACTCCAGCTTCAGACCAAATGCCAAAATGAACTGCCTTCACTCCAGCCCCAGAGGAGTACCAAGAGGCTTGTTTTGATGAAGAAAATGCAAGCTCCTTCTCAAACATTGCCCCACTACTTTGGAAAGTAACTTAATCAGAGAAACAACTTTTGTTTATAAGTCTCAGTTCTTCTCAGCTTTCAGAGATTGTCTTTTGAAATGTTAATGGAGCCTAGATGGCCCAGAAGCCAGCCCTCAACCCTCAGGGCCCAATTGGACCCCAGCGTCCATTTGGGCCGACTGGAGTAGGGCAGGAAAAAAACAGGCGTCCCCCAACCACACAGGGCAGGCAAGGAAATGAGTTTCCATCTGGGAACATGCTCTGGAGAAAGCTAGATGTAGAAAGGCTCAGTGCCCATTTGCTTTTATTTGTTTCCAGTTTGTTACCCCAAATATGAGCCAGAAGTGTTTGTTTTGGTGGTTTTTGAAAAAGCTGTGTTGGGGTTGTGACTGATGGGGTGGGTTGGGGGGTGAAATGTTTACTGAGGATGTTGCTCCCCAGACTCCCATACCACTTTGTCCATTGCAGCCTTTTGTTGGGAGATGACATTGTCAGTCAGCCCCATGGTGTCTGTTCACACAAGATGCTTTTTTAATAGAATTAACCAATGTTCTGCTGCCATTGATTAAAGTATTATTTATACTAATTGTTGCCTGTAGTTTTGATGTAATTCATTGATCTATATTTGAAATAATAAAAGGTGTAGCGAAATCTCCCTTCTGTGTGATGCCTCCACAGAAGCATTCTTCACGAAGTCTTCTAAAAGCTAACGTTCAATGTAAACAGTTTATTATTTTCTGCAGCATGCCTGACCAGTGAAGGTTAAACTGTGTAAGGCAATTCTATCATCATCCTTCCTCTATGTGTACACACTCCCAATTTGGCCACTATATTTTGTGAGCTTTGGGAAGCATGGGCTCGTAATCAGGCTGCAGGACAGTGAGCATTATTCTTTTGAAAGGAAAATAACTTTCTAGACTAAAAGGAAACTCTAGGTTGGCTCTCTGCCCTGGTCAGCCCCAGACTCCTTCAGCCTATTTTTTGTGATGTGATGGGTGAGAGAGCTCCTTGCCCCCCAGCTCTGGAAGAGAGTGTTGGGTGTTGGGTTCTGGGCTGACCTGGGGCTGACCGGTGGCTGCTCGGCCCTGACCTCTCTGGCCTCTGCTCTTGGGCCCCTTGGGCCCCTTCTTTTCCAGTGCTGTTGAGTTCCACTGGGGCCTCCAGCACCTACCCTACCTTTCCCCAGAGTCCCCTCCGCCCTCCAGACTACAATAAACACTCCCCACGGTAAAAAGTGGCGTGCACTATTTTTTCGCGAGGGCTTTTTCACATCTGTGCCTGTCTTGAAGAATGGGGCCAGGACAGGAGTCCCGAAATAGACTGGGGGGTGGGGGGAAGGCTCGCTCGTGACAGGAAATGAGCAGAATGCATAAAATCAGACATGTGTCCTTAATATATGGAAGGGCTCGCCTCAGACGCGTGGACATGTGTATTTATAAGTGCGTAGACAGAAGTTTAAATATTCAGACACATTTTATGATTGTCCTCTGCCGGTCTCCTGGTTAATGGCTCCTCCTGTGCCCACCAATACATCAATACCGTTGTGTGTGTCGAAGCTCGGGCAGGAACGAGGAGGGAGCGAGTCCGCAGCCGAGCCTGCTGGAGTACAGTACAGTAAATCGGGACCCTCGGTAGACTGCGCTTTCCACCGCCGCGCGCCATGTTGGGGAGCCCTTCCTGCCCCCCGCGCCGGGCTGGGCGGCCGGGGCTCGCCGGCAGCCGGGGGAGGGTCTTTCATAACCCAGAGAATTTTCAAAGTGCGAGGAAGATGATAAGAATAGATTTCTACAAGTCCCGACCACGTGATTGGCGAAATAATTAATTCAGCACGTCCCTTAAGAAACACGGAGTCGTCATTAATCTGCCACGCAAAGGGCTCTCTCCGACTTGGAAAGTGCAGGGATCCCAAGAATACCACCCGCCCAGGGGGGCCGCGCGGCGCCCCCAACCCTCCACCCTCGGCCGGCTGCGGGCGCGGGAGCGCTGCCGGCAGGTAAATATTTTGGCGACTTTTATTTCTACAGATTTAAATCCTAATGAATTTAGCTGTCAGGCTGCTGACAAATAGTTCCCTTTGCTTCCTGATTTGGAAACGTGCGCCGGCGAAAGTTGTTAGTGGCTTGGATGGTGACCTTTGGTTCAGCAAAGCTTTGCACTTATGAAAAATTACTGAGAGCGGCCAAGAGTATGTGAAAGAGAGGGTGTGTGTGCGCATGTGGGGGGGGGGTGCGAGGGGCGAGGGGCGAGGGGCAGGGGCGAGGGTACGCGCGGGCCGCTCTGAGACAGCAGGAGTTCTAAAAACCCGCTAGGTTGGGGGACGCGCCTGGCGCACGCGGGCCGGGGTTGCCCGGTCGTCTGTGTCTGCCGGGAACAATGGTCGCTGTCACGGCATCTGCCGCCTATTCTTAAACTGGTGAGAAAAGGCCCCGGCCCTCTTTTCAGGCGAGGGTCGTAAATTTTTCTTTGCGTCATAATAGAAGGCTATAAAATCGAGTTGAAATTTTACCCCAGGCAGGTTTTAACCAACAGATAATGATTTCCGAGTTGTTTCTCTCCCTCCCTCCCCGCTCAAGCTCTGCTGCTGCTGTTTGCCAGCAAGAAGTTTACTCTTCTTCCCCTTTATTTCTGTATTTTTAATTTTTGGGGAACAGATAAAATAAAGGCAGGGGGAAGACGTCTCTGGCTGCCTGAGTGGGAGACCCTAGGGCGAAGGGAAGCCTCAGGGAAAGGGAGAGGCCAGAGCGAGATGCAAAGGCTCTCCTTGCTCGCTCCCATTTCAGCCTTTTTTCTCCTCACTCTAAGGCGACTCGAGGTCCCACGAGCTCCTCAGCTCCCACCCCACCCCCAACTTGCGGATTTGGGCTGGGGGCAGCAGCCGGCATTGTTCTCCTCCTCCTCAAAACTCTGGCCCAGATGCCCAGCAAGACAGACTATTCGCCCCCTATTCTCTTCCCCTCTGGTTGGCTTCTGAGGGTGATTTCCGCGAGCTGGGGCTGGCTGCCTTTGGTGGTGGTTTTGGGATTGTGTGTCTATTTTGATTTCTTTTTTGGTGTGTGTATATTTCCCTGTCAGGACAAAGTTTCCTCCGTTATGAATTATACATTCAAACAATAATACATTAATTCAATTATTCAAGAATGACAAATGTTTATGTGCTTTGCAAGTGACTCAGTCGCACATTCCAGGCCCATTCTCTGAGCTGCTTGCATTTTTCTCAATGAGAATTGGCTCTCCTCCCAACCCCCCAACACCACCCATTCCAACCCACCTCGACATTCCCCGGTAGGCCCAGAGAGGAACCCACAAAAAGTCTCCCCAGCACCTCCAGCAGCCCAGCAGCCAATAGCCTCCTAAGGCCCAGGCTTGGCGGGCACCGGCCTGGGCTATTTTATCAGTGTGACAGTTGCCCAAGTTGGTGTGATAAATCATCGTAAGTAATTCCTGAAAGGGTGCGAGGCTGTTGGGGGCCGGGCGAGGACTGTAAATCTTTCCGGTTTATTGCTCTATGAACATATGCTCCGATTGAAGAAGGCTTAGATCCTTTTCCTGGAGACAAATTCCCGCAAAGCAGGCCCCCCTCTATGGCTGGAGATTAACACTTGCTGTGGGCCGGCGGCTCAGCCCCTGGCCAGAGGCTGGGGGCGGGGTCCTCTGGGTGGGGGTGGACTGGTAACATCCACAGTCCTGGTCCAAGAGGCCCCCGAGTGGGCCTCCTGCCAGGACCGGCCAGGTGAACAAAAGGAAGGGTTCTCTGACCGGCCTGGTGACTCGAGCCTATGATCCATTCTGAGGGACTTTCCCGTGCCTCTGGGGTGCAGATGTGGAGGACCTTACCCCATCTTGTCCGCTCTTTTACTGCTGGGTTCATTCTCTTTCGCCAGTCTGAAACCTTATCTGCTCCGTGCCTGATGCCGCTGAGAGAGACTGGCCTTGAAAGAGACTTCAGGGGTGGGGTGGAGATTCCCGCATGGTGCGGGATTCCGGGGTGCGGGCAATGCACGGAAAGGACCGTGGTGTTCGCAGCAAGCCAGGCGCTAGAAGCCGGCCCCTTACCCTGGCTCGGGGCTTCTTCCCACCTGCAGTTACTGTAAATTCCGCCCGACCACTCGGAGAGTGCAAGGAACCTGTACTATTTTAATATTTTAAAAACAGAAACTCCCTGGATTCCCAGATTAGCCTGGTCAGGATTGATTCCGCACTCCGCCGCGCCTTGGAGGCGCCGCAGGAAGCGGGAAGCTGCGGCCTGGCGGTCGCTGGGCCTGCGGGATCCGCGCGGGTCGTGCTCAGATCGGGAAGCGCCCAGATCACTGCAAACAGCGGCTTGGCGCCTCGGCATCTCTCGGGGTTCAATCTGCAAGACGCAGAGAGGGGAGTCTGCTCTCGGTCCCGCCCGGCTGTTTATGCGCCTTTTCTGGCTCTCAGAAGTGATGGGCTCCGTTCGTCTGCTCTATCCGCAGAACGAGCCAAGGCCGCAAGCCGTGTTGATGGAAGGGTTTCTCCGGAGTGACCAGCCTGGCCTGTGAGCTGGAGGCTCCCACCTTAGGGCCGGAGCCTGCGCTGTGCCACAGCGTACTTGCCTCTCCCCGGGAGGCATCCGCTTAGGGCCGCGCGTCCGCTTAGATCGCGCCACAGCCCGGGTGTGTGAGTTTGCAGGCTACCCGGCGCGGCCAGAGAGCTAAGGAAACCCTGTGCTTCTGCTGCTCCACAGCCGACTCCAGAGACACCTCTAAGAGAGAGAGCCTCTAAAATTTACAATTCCCGGACCAGTCTGGTGGAAGTCCCGGCCAGGGTCAGAGGTCGTGGGGGGAGAGACCTCAGAGCCCCATCCCATTGCGGGCGGCTAGGCTGCGTCTGTGCTGGTCTGAGCTGCAAGTTGGAAGCTTTACCTTCCTCTGCTTACTCCCCCAAGTCTGCCCGCATCCCACGCCTCCTGCCCCTCCTCCCAGTCCCCAGGCCTGGCTGCGCTCCGGGGCTGGATGGCGTGAAAGTTTCAGCCTCAATCAGTACAATCTTCCCTCCGGGTCACGTGAACAAATATGCTCGCTTTTGAAGGCAGCGTCTGTATTTCCCTACTATGAGGGGTTTCTAGGGCTCTCTCCAAATTCAGAAAGGGCCACATTCCGAAAGCAAAACAAATCCCGAGCTCTGGGGGCCTGGGAGGGCTGGGCAGGAACCCAAGAGTGGGTGGGGGCGCGGGTGGCCGCCGCTCTGGGCCTGGAAGCCGACAGGCAGGCGGGTGGACCGACGGGCGCGCAGCTCAGGCGAAGCCAGCTCGGGGACTACGAACACGTTCCTTCTGCGTTTATTGGTAGCTGAACCTCACTCAGGCTGGTTCCGTTCTACCGGGAATTCCGTGTGCTCGGGTATATGGCCGTGTCTGCGAGCGCGCAAGACCAGGGTTGGGACAGTGTTGTCTGCAGACAAAGGGGGAAGGCTAACTCTGCCCCCCACTGGCGCCCACTCTGAGGCCGAGGACACCAGGTTTATGATAAATTGGGATTCAGGTAAGCAATTGCATGACAAAATGGAAATCTTTGGGCACGAGGCTGCTTGCTGCCCTGAGCAGGATGCTAAATATGATTTATTTTGTGTAATCTGTGGTCTTGATTATTGCCAATTGGTGAGGCAGCCCTCGTAGACCTAGATACACTTCTACATATACACTGAAGGCGGTGATTAATTGAAATGAGGTGTGCTTTGTGGGGATACTCCCCGCCTACCCAAAGGTTAGGAGGACACAATACTGTGCCATGCTTGGAGGGTGGCCGGTGGCATGGAAGGGGGGCAGTTTGAGGAAGGTCAGTGAGGGAGATGGGGGCTGGAGGAAGCATTTTGGGGTAAATGTGCAGTTACAAGAAGGGGCTGGAAAACAAAATGAATAAGAAAGTTTTTTCCAGTGTCATTGCCAAAGTAAGATGGAGCGTCATATTAATTCTGTGTCTTGGGCTGCCTGGCTAGGCACAGGCAGGTTGATTTATATGTATTTAAAATAAACTCTGGGGTCAGCCATCTCCTTGCATTGTTCTGGGAGCTAGCTCCATATATGCTCGCCTTATCGCTTACTGTTGGCTTAATTTTTTTTTTCTTGGGAAGTGAAAGTGCTACTCCAGCTTTCCTCCCCAAATTCAAGAGAACCCTGAAACTACCCAGAAGTGTTTGGAAGGCTACTCCACACTCCTTCTCACTAATACTAGTTTTGACTGCAATACTGGCAGAGAAAAGGTTTAGAGCCGCTGGGTCCTTCTCCCAGATAAGTCAGAATGAAAGCTAAATCATATTTTGGCTCCTGCATCACATCCATCCTTTTGTTTACTGTGTCTTGTGGCTTTCTGGCTGAGAGTGGACAGTACAATTCATCCTGGGTCTTCCCGAATTAGTGGCACTCCATGCTCATGGGGATGCCATAGGGCTCAGCCAGACAGGGCCTCTGTGGGGAAGGGACCTAGAAAGCAAGGAGCACTCCCTTAGCCTACGCTGGGACAGGCGGCAGGAGGGGAACAGACTTCCAGGGTCTGTCACCATCAAAGGGGAAAAATAAAGTTGTTTTGTCAATCACCAGCGCTTGGCTCCATCAGAATTTAAAGTTACTGGACATTTTTCTTCCCTTGCTGCCTTGGAGCACTGTGCCTGCCAACTTAGTCGGCTGAATCCAATTACTACGAACAGCATTTCATTTGGTACCATGGAGTACTCACTCACAACTTACCTGAAAATTTCAATAATCCGCACCAAGGCTCCCTCTCCTAAAGACTTTTTCTGGAGTACTAGTGGGAGATGGGCATAGGACAGGGTCTGTTGGGGACTAGCTCTTAGTTGAGAGTTCACAGATGGGGCTCCCTCCTGCTTGCCCAGTATCTGGCTGTGGAAAGGGTACTTGAGCTGATGGCCCAGAGCCAGCTGAGTTAAGCCTGTGATTTGAGGTAGGCAGGAGGCTGAAGTTGGGTGCATTCTGGAAGGTGGGTGGGAAGCGGACAGAGTGGGAGAAGGCACTGAGGGCTCTGGATGGCCCAGCTTTGGCCACTTTGGGGTCCTCTTTTCCTAACTCTTCCCAAGCATCCTGTGGCCAGAGTTCAGAGCTCACCACAGCACCCCTGAACACCCAGGAGCAAACTTACCCTGTTCCTCCGTGTCAGGAAAAGCAAAATCTAGCTACATCATCAGGGTATTGAGGCCCTGGATGGCCTCAATTTATCCCTTCTTTTGAGGGAAGCTCCTATTTTAAAAAACAGTTATTTCAAAAAGAAAATGTAAAGTGGTGAAATCTGATGTCTGCCCATGTGAATGTATCATATAGAGCGGCTGTGGGACTCTCCAGTTAGGTCCGATGGCCTGGTACATCTTGCCTCCACAGCATAGCCCTTGGGGCGGCTTCTGGGTCCGGGCGGGCTGGGAAGCTGAAGCCCGAGAGTGAGAGTGATATTAGGAGCCCTACCGGCTGGGGATCTATCCGAGGAGCTTCCGTTGGGTGTTCATTAAGGGGTGAGTTATTGCTGCATGAGCCAAAGGTCACTTCAAAGGCTTATGGCTGCCCACTCTGGTCTTCCAAGGGGCCCAGAACGCTTTGTGTGGGGTTTTCCCTGGTGCGGTTTAGTGTTTGCAAAGTACTGAGTCGACAAATTGCACAGGGCAGATGCGAGGTGGGAGCGGGGGAGTGGGGTGTCTCTCCTTTCACCTGACCAGGGTGAGCACCTGCTGAGCACAGTCAGTGGTGGGCAGGTTGGTCTGTTTTTGGGTGAGGATGGAAGGGATGTTTGTTTCTTAGGTGGTCTGCAGCCTGATCCCAACCCAGGAGCAGCAGCTCAGGCCGAGAGTGTGGTGGGTACTTATTGGAATAAAATAAATGTAGGAAAACCATCCAAGATATTATGTATGAACCAAGAAATTGGACTGTGTGGGACAGCCATCAACTAGGATCTACTCAGGCCCATCTACATATACAATCATTTTCTGGGGCCCTATGCTGTGGCAGGTCTTCACAGTAGCCCTCCTTCGCTCCTAGGAGGCTGCGCTGGGCCAGGGGGTTTAGGGCTCTGGAGCATTTAGAGCTTGGTTGGAGCAGGAGGAGAGGGACTTGTTTCCCTGCACCTCTGACTCACTTGGCCTACCTACCGGGCTAGGGTTTGGCCCTTCCCTCAGATCCTGGCTTCTCCTTCCCCTTTCCAGCCAAAGATTTTGGTGTTAAAATCCCCAGGAGACAACCGAGTCTCCTCTCTGCCAGGGAGAAGGCACTTGGAATGGCTTTGGGCACCATATACAATAGTTACATCTATTATGACACCCTTAAAGGGTGTAAAGCCTCTGGAAATGTGTTTGTAAGAATGAACCAGCTGCTACTGAGTTTTCTATTTTGTTCCAGATTCTCCTCAACAGACTATCAAAAGGAACCCGGAGAGACTAAAAAAGACTTAAAAACAAAATTCTACAAACACACATGCACACGCAGGCACGCGCGCGCACACACACACACACACACACACAATTGCGGTGAGTGGCAAAATTTTTAGAAATAATTTCCACTACATTTCCATTTATTCTGCAACTCAAGGTAGCCATCTCAGTACTCATACATCAAGACATAAAACAAAGGGGGACTTTGAAGTGGATCACCGCAGTGTGAACTGCTGCCTGTTACATGATAACCGATCATCGGCCTTCAAATTTATGACGCTTTAATGGGGGTGAGCCCAATGCCTTAAATGCAGGGTGTATTATGTATTGAGTTATCTGGGCTAAATAAGAGTGATTTAGAAGGCACGTCCAGGGGCTTCCCATAAGGCAGAAGAGGCTCAGGCTGAGAGATCGGGAGAACTTGGCAGAAAGCTGCCCCAATTCTGCGGTAAATATATCCCCTTCCGACCAAACCCGAAAAGGGGTGGTTTCGAAATCCCGTCGTAGCAAAGCCAACAGGGAGGGAAGAATCATTGCTAGGTTCCAGTGAATTAAGGGGGATGACTTGTAGAGAGTTGGGTACGCCAGAAAGATCTGTGGGCTTCCGAGGCCCTGGTTTAAGCAAAACAAGAACAGAGGAGGCCAACTCAAACCTTCGAAAAATTTGAAAATAACAGAAGCAACCATCACTCGATCGCTTACCCACCCTCCTCCTTTCAATCTGCACGGACTCTACCGACCCATAATTTACGCAGATTGCGGCGCAAGTCACAGCTCGGGCACTGCCGCCCCCACCCTTCCCAAGCCCCTCGCCCTTGCCACGGCCACCGCAGGCAAGCGAGCGCCTGGCTGGTCTACGCGCGTTCAGCGACCCTCTTGGCGTCCCGAGGACGCGGCGGGCAGCATGTCTTCGGCCCCAGCGAGGCTGCGCGCGTCCCGTCCCGCTTCCTGCCGTCAAGCCGAGCTGCTTCAAGAGGCGGGCGCCGGCCACTTTATATAACCCCTGCTCGCTGGGCGCGGGGCCGGGAAAAAAGTGGAGCAGGGAATTCTTTCTCTGCTCTTCCTCCTACGCGGAGCCTGTTTTCCACTTCTGAAAAGGGCCGGGCCTTGGGAAGTGTTTTTCTTTTCATTCCTTACTGAAGCGTTTACGGTCGCCCGTGCTCGCAGTCATAAATTTTGTACAAACCACAATGACAGGTGCATTGATATGCACCGTGAGAGCTCCAGCTGCTTAATAACCCCGTCCCCTGGCCGCTGAGAGCGCCTTTTATTTATTCGGTATCATATTATGTATTGATCCCAGGCAGAATTAAGTGCAGCGAACAAGTATGAGGGTTTGGCTGTTTCAGAGGCTCGGTGTGTGCGGCGGGCCAGCGCGGCCCGGAAAGCCGCTGGTGGTCACTCGGAGGCCGCTTTCCTTCCGGCTGGGGACAGTTTGGCCCTGCGTTCCTGGCCCGCGGTTGGGCCTCCGAGGTGAATTGGGCAACTTCCCGGGACCACGAAAAAAGGACGAGCCAGACCCCGTTTGGTGCCTCTTCCCCAGGAGGGGCCGGGGCATGGCAGAGGGATTCTGGGGAGGTGCCATGGCCGTTTCTGGGACTGGCGGGCAGAGGGGAGGAGACGTGAGAGGAAAGGGCAGCCGAGGACTTCGAAGACCACCCCTCCCCCTACACCGGCTAGTCTTCACCCCAAGGCTTTTGGGCCCTGGAGCCCAAAAGAGTAGAGGTACCAAAGGGCGAGAAAAGAAAACCTTAGCGGGTGGGGGGATGTTGTGATCGAAAAGATGAGCCACTGAACAGTTGACCATTGTCCAAGTGATTTATGACCCGTTCCTGCTTTTTAGGTTCAAGCAGAGTTCACAAGGAGTCGGGATTTCTTGAAAGAAAAGAATTTTTTTGAAACCAGTTTTGTAACAATATTCAGGTTCTATTTTAGGAGAGAGAGGTGGCTTCTTTGGGGCAGTATATTTGGGAGATGGTTGCAAAGCCCTTTCCAGTGAGGACAGAGCTACTGCCCTTGCTTCTGGGGAAATGGGCATTGAGGTAGTCAATCATCATTGAGTGGGCCTTGAAATTCTTCAAGACAATGAAAACGGAGGCGGCAGAACAGACTATTTTTTTATGAAGCTGCCCGGTATTTGCACTTTTGAGGTCTGTACACAGACTTTTTCTAGGAATACACCATAGGAACAAATATATGTAAAGCCTGTTTCATATATCAATAAACCACCTCTCTCTCCTAAAATAGAACCTGAATATTGTTACAAAACTAGTTTAAAAAATCTGTTTAAAAAACCTGGTCAGTTCCTGAAGAAGCTATTTTAATGTAACTGCTTTACCTATCAAGATAAACTTGGTCAACCAGGGAGGCAAGAAGCAGGATGTTTTGATTCCACAGTTGTAAATGGAATGACAGAAGCAGCAGGAAGTTCTGGTGGCCTTAGTGTCAAATGTGACCATTTTGACATCCAGAGGGCCCAAGGTTTAAGACTGGAAGCAGGATTTCAGAAAAGTCCAGAAATTTAAGCAAACCCAGAGTACTTGGTCCTTTGCCCCGGGGGAAAACACATAAATATTAGTCACAGGATGAGAATGCAGCTGTCCATTTGATATTCAGCAACTTTAGTAGTAATAGAATTACACTGAAAAATGAATGAAGGATTAAGACTAGCTTTGTTAGCTTTGTTAGGTAGATATCCTAACTGCATATATTAAAGAACAGTAATAGAAACAATTCCTGAAAGTAACATCTTACTATTCCAACGTCGTCCCATTGAGAAGGGCCTGCCTCTTACCAAGATAAATGGCATATTCACTTATATTTTAAAACAAAAAAAATGGCAACAATACTACCAAACATTGACTAATATGAAGAATTTTAATACTTGGGTTAGGCTCTTTGGTGAAGTAGAGGGTAAGTGAGTGAATGGAAGAGTGGTTTCTTTTCTTTTTCTTTTTGGTACTGGTGGTCAAATCAAATAGGCCACATAAGTTGTCTAGATAATGTGGGTCGTCATGATGGCCGTGGGAGCCAGGGTATTTGAGGGAAGCAAAGTTGCCTGAAAGATGAGATCAAGAGTTAAGACCAGGGAGCTGACTTATGAGTTTTCTTTATCACACAGACAAAAGTGGTTGAATGGTATTAGTTATACTTCAACTCTTTAGGAGCATTTCAGGAGAGGATGGAGTGAGAAGGAAAACCCCCATCAAGAGTTAGAGGACACAAAAAAAGGTAGACTCTTAGTTTTGTTTCTTCTTCTTCCAATTCTGGGCCCATTCATTATGCCATGAGAGGTTATCTCATTGGAGGTGGGGTGGAATAGATGGATGACCCAGAGCAGAGGTCAATAATAATATCTATTTATACCAAAGTTATATTATAAAGCATTCTTTATTCACTCATGCTTTGTGCTTGTCAAATTCTAAATCTCTTTACCCATTTCTAGTGATATTCATTTAAAAGTACTGAAGGACAAAGTTAGGGGTCTAGAAAATGCAGGTGCAAGAGAAGAAACATTTTGTAGCTTCAAAATAAGTTTGTAAGTCTTTAAGTCCTCTCCTTGGTTTTTATCTCCTAGTAGATTTCACAGTGCTGACCCAGAGCTGACTGGGCCGATTCTCACCCTGTCACCGGAAAGTGGACTATCTGGGTCACCACAAGAGATGCTGTGATTTTGAAACCAGGTGGGGGAGGTAAATGTGCGTGTGTATGTGTTTGTGTGTGTGCATGTATATGTGTGTGTGTATATATTTATATACACACACACATATACATATATATGTAAAATTTTTTTGAGAGCTATGGCTTTTCTGAGTGTGTTACAGGGTTTTATTTTGCCAATTAAACCCTGGGATGACCCAGTGATTGATTGACTGACTAACCCATTCATTCATTCCCTCATCCAGCAAGCATTTATAACATGTGGGTCTCTGGGTTAGATGTGTTCGAATAGATGAATAACACACAGACCCTGCCTGCGAGGAGCTCAAAGTCTAGTGGGAGTATCAACTATGAAAATGTACGAGGCTGTAAATGCTTTTGTGTGCAGTTTCAAAGCTAAATTGACAATCTTGGAGAAAGAAAATCATATATTTGGGGGAAAAAAGCCCCTTCCCTTGGATGCATTGAGCTTAAGAGAAGGAAAGTTCTTTTCTTATGTTTACAAGAAATTCCTTCTGACTTTTCCAAAGGTTCAAATAAGTTGAACTTCATGAAAGCTCAGATCCTCCCACTATGAAGTGGTTGGGAAGCAGAGAGCCTGGGCTAGTCCTTCTATATTGACTGGTCTTACCAATGACAGTCCCTCTGGGACTTCTCACTTTTCTTCTCTGCAGGTCACCTGGAGCCTGGGGCTGCCCCAGCTCTCTCAGGATTTGGCAGACATTGGAGGTGGCAGTGAAGGAGAGAGTGGTGGTCAATGTTATTTGAGCAGGGTCAGCAGGTCCTGGAGTTTCCTGAGTGCACCATGCAGAAGGCTGCTTACTATGAAAACCCAGGACTCTTTGGAGGCTACAGCTACAGCAAAGCCACTGACACTTATGGCTACAGTGCCCCCCATCAGCCTTATCCACCCCCTGCTGCTGCCAACTCCCTGGACACTGATTACCCAGGCTCTGCCTGCTCCATCCAGAGCTCTGCATCACTACGAGCACCAGCCCACAAAGGGGCTGAACTCAATGGCAGCTGCATGAGGCCGGGTGCTCATGGGAACAGCCAGGGTGGGGGTAGTGGCAGCCAGCCTCCTAGTCTGAACTCAGAGCAGCAGCCGTCACAACCCCCTCCTCCACCACCAACCCTGCCCCCATCCTCACCTACTAATCCTGGAGGTGGGGTGCCTGCTAAGAAGGCCAAGGGTGGGCCCAATGCTTCTGGTTCCTCTGCCACCATCAGCAAGCAGATCTTTCCCTGGATGAAAGAGTCCCGACAGAACTCCAAGCAGAAGAACAGCTGTGCCACTGCAGGTAGCTGTCTGAGGGGGCTCACTGCTGGGCTAAGTTCCCCAGAATGACTTCAAGAAGCTAGCTTACCTAGAAATCAAGAGACTCAGGGCTGCAAGTGCAAATTTGAAGCCCATACATATATTTTAAACTCCTGCTCATGCAGGAATGTCTTTTTTTTTCAGTGTCCCTGATTCAGGTCATACTCTTACAGTGACAGGGTGTTCACTTCCCTTCTAGGCTGCTGATGCCATTGCTGGACAAGTCTCATAGTTATTAATAGATGGCTCATCCTTATGCTGACCTAATATCTGCTCTCCTGGGCTGCAGGTCATAACCAGCTCCTTCCATTCAATAGCTCTTGAAAACTTGAAGGCAGATATTATGATCCCCAAGCCCACGTAGTTATGTAGTCCATATTCACACGAATCTCACACCCTTAAATTAATAAGAACAAAAATTATGGAGTGCTATGTTAAGAACCATGTGAAGTGCTTTACAAGCACTATATAATTTAATTTTCCAAAGGACTCTTTGAGGTAGGCATATGATAATATCTCAATTTTACAGATAAACTGATAGAGATAAACAAGGAAACTGATAGAGATGATAGATGGCTAGCTAGGATCACAAAACAACAAAGTGGTGCACTTGTATCCAACCAGGGCTTTCAAGGCATAACCATGGACTTTACTTGGCCCACCACAGCCCTGTTCTCCCCATCCCAGCAAATCCATACTGAGAAGGGACATAGCCTAGGAGAAGAGGACGTGCTTTCTGAAACAGGAGCAGCCTTGGGTTTGTCTCCCTGGAAAGAGAGACCTTAGAGTTGAGAAGATCTTCTGTGGGTCCATTCAGGGTATGTGGAAGAAGATGGGCAGGGCCAGGAGCTCTGAGGCCTGCTGCCTCTCTCTGCTTAGCCTGCTTGGTGCTTGAAGTTTTCTGGCCTTGTGCTCTCTGATGTGGTTTATCTTCAGATAGCTGAACTTGCTTTCCAGGTCCAGGGCTCGTATGAGGCCTGGGATGTATGTAGCTAGCTTGTTAATCAGGTCTCTGGTTTGCCTGCTGCTTTCTAGGGCTGCTGTTCCTGGGGGGAAAGTTGTCTTCCAGCCTGTAAGCTCCTTCTCCTGCCCCTCCTTCCCAGCTGCAGGCCCAGGCCCTCCCTCCCAGGAGAAATCCATTTGTCTTCCCAGGGAGGGAGTAGACAAGCTGCTGAGAGGTGGCAGGGGTAGTGAAAACCAGCGTTGAGGCTGCTGCTACTAGCACTGCAATACTCAAAATGTACCCAGCCTAGCCTTGGATCCCCTCAATTCCCAGGCAGTACTTTTATTGTTTATCACCTCTGTGCACTTGGGTGCAGAGCTCTTGGGTGCAGCTGGGTTGGAGTGAGGTGCCAAGATCTCCATCCTCACTCCATGCTTCATGGGGCTTTGCCCAGGAGCCAGCCCCTGAGCAGGACAGGCTGGGGCTGCCACCCTCACCCGCCTTCCCCAGAAGCAGACACTGGAAGGAGTATTCAAAGAAGTTTGGCCCTTCTTTTATAGGGAAGGAGGCCTTACCAGCTGCTACTAGTGTCTAATTAAACTCCACCGCAGCCTTTGGGACAGGATGATGGACTAGGCTGGAAGGGAGGGGGTGGGAAGAGTGAATCGAACCTCCGAAGGCCGATGGGAGTTTCAGGTGCGACCGACGGGCCTGGGGCCGGTGAGTTCCCTCTGGAATCTCGCCTCTCAAATGCCCCTCCCCCAGGAGGGGGATTAAGGTGGGGAGAGGGGTGGAGGGAGAGGAGGGAGCCAAGGAAGCACCCCTCCCTAGCTCTGGGTACCCCCACCTCTCCCTCTCAGTGTACCCCTCTCCCTCCCTGCTCAGGAGAGAGCTGCGAGGACAAGAGCCCGCCGGGCCCAGCATCCAAGCGGGTGCGCACAGCGTACACCAGCGCACAACTGGTGGAATTAGAGAAGGAATTCCACTTCAACCGCTACTTGTGCCGGCCGCGCCGCGTGGAGATGGCCAACCTGCTGAACCTCACCGAACGCCAGATCAAGATTTGGTTCCAGAATCGGCGCATGAAGTACAAGAAGGACCAGAAGGCCAAGGGCATCCTGCATTCGCCAGCGGGCCAGTCTCCGGAGCGCAGCCCGCCGCTCGGCGGCGCAGCCGGCCACGTGGCCTACACAGGCCAGCTGCCTCCTGTGCCGGGCCTGGCCTATGACGCTCCCTCGCCGCCCTCCTTTGCCAAATCTCAGCCCAACATGTACGGCCTGGCAGCCTACACGGCGCCACTCAGCAGCTGCCTGCCACAACAGAAGCGCTACGCGGCGCCCGAGTTCGAGCCCCACCCTATGGCGAGCAACGGCGGCAGCGGCTTCACCAGCGCCAACCTGCAGGGCAGCCCGGTGTACGTGGGCGGCAATTTCGTCGACTCCATGGCGCCCGCGTCTGGGCCCGTCTTCAACCTGGGCCACCTCTCGCACCCGTCTTCGGCCAGCGTGGACTACAGCTGCGCTGCGCAGATTCCTGGCAACCACCATCATGGACCGTGTGACCCCCATCCCACCTACACAGATCTCTCCGCTCACCATTCGTCTCAGGGACGCCTGCCCGAGGGCCCCAAACTGACGCATCTGTAGCGGCCGCCACCGGCCCGACCTCGCGGCGCAATTACCTCTTGCTTTGGTGGCGGGGGTGGCGGGCGGAGCCCTCGGGACGCCTCGGTGACCCTATCTATCCCTTTCTCTGGCCGGGTCGCTGCCTCCCGGATGTCGGGCCACAGGCGACCGGGCCTTCCCTCCAGGCGCACCCACCTTTGGGCGACTCGCCATAAATTGGCTCCGAGGGTTCTCTTCTGTAAGCCTGATATGCCACCATATACTGCGGACCGAGGGGCCCTAATCTGGTAATGATGCCCTGAAGGTAAGTCTGAGATCTGTTGGCGGTGCGCCCCTGCGGAAGGACCAGGGGCCAAAGATCCCTGAGCCTGGCCCACGTCTAGCTTAGTTGCGGAGACCTTAATTTATATTCTCCTTCCAGTCCCTTAAGGAATGCATCGGACTCAACGACCTATATTTATTATTTGAAGCGAGTCATTTCGTTTCCCTGATTATTTATCCTCTTCTTAATGTATTTATGTGTATGTATATTTGTAGAATTATCCAGCCGAGCTTAGGAACGCGGTCCCAGTCCGCGGGAGCCACATTTCACCTCGTTAGTCCCCTTGGTCTGAACTAGTTGAGAGTAGTTTTGAACAATTGTAAACGTGGCTGGTGTTTGTAGTTGATGTAAAGGATTAAGACCGCAAATTGTCCTTCATGGGTAGAGTCAGGCAGCCTCGTGGCGCGGCACAACTCCAATTACTCATTTCTCAACAGCCGCAGCCATCGCCACTCAACACAGTTTATTGATTTCAAATTGTCTGGTACTATTTGAATAAATATTTAGAATAAAAAAATTTCTCAGTCTTAAGTGTATCTGTGCTAATGACACACCCTTGCAAGTAGATCACTCTTGGCCTTTATCTTTCGCACCATCCCGGTGGAAGGCCCCAAAGTAGTCTAACCCTTTGAAATACATACATACACACACACACACACACACACACACACACACACACACACACACACACAGAGCACTTATTTGGAATCTGATACACAAATTGGTTCTGGGTATACTTGATTACATTCCAGCTACTGACATTTGGCGGGGCGGGAATCTGAGGACTCAGACCTAGAAATGTCAGGGCAGGATGATTTGGGTAAGGGCTTTGCTGCGCCTGCTTTGCTGTTTCTACTGCCCTCTTTATAGACACAAGTCCACCTTTTTAGACTGCATTTACCTTGGGGAGGCCAGAGCTCACTTTTCTGCGTTAATAAACAAACTGAAAGAAAACTGACAAAAGATACAAGAGAAGTCCTAAGAAGAACTGAGCTATGAGAAAGCTAAGGTGCAGAAAAAGAAATGATCATTTGGACACATGCATCTAAGCTTTTTGGGTAGGAATGCTGTCACAACTCCCGTTCATAGTGGTCGGTGGTTCATTTCTAAAAAAAATGTTCCCCACAATGTAAAGTGATTAAAGCTTCATTGATGGAACATAGAAAGTATACATACCTGTTTACTCCAGTTTCTTTGTATAAAATGTGCAAAAATGTCTTCAAAAATTTACAACCATTTTGTAAATATTTGAATGGCTCTAGCTAAGGGTGAACAACTTGCACCAATTTTCTGGGAGGAAGTATTTGGGGAACGCCTTCAGATAAGGTTCAGTTCTTCTGTATTTCAGAAAAGCCGGCCCACACATCTCTATTTGGTTTGACAAATAATGCAACTCCTACTACAAGTGACACTGGGTGAAATTCCTATTGTGTGGAAATAATTTGACTTCTAATCTTCTGATGGGACAACAATAATTTCTGTTTGGATGTTTGTGTTTTACTAAATAATGATGGCTCAAGATAATATTTAGTTTCCTTGTTCCTTTGTGCTGTTTTTAAAATGGCATGTTAGCTTGGAGGTGGGAGGGTATTATCCTTTTACTAAATTTCACTTTATCCGAGCAGGTTTAAAGTACATATGTTGTAGAAGTGTGTCAGCAGAATAAATGACTTCAACTGAAGGAATATTTTACCCACTTCCAAGGCTTAAAATTGTTTTCTATGAAATTTGCATCCATAGGCAGAATTTCTAATTGTCCATTTTAAACTATTAGGGAAATCAAAGAAGAGCTTGCTGCCTTGCAGGGATTATAACCACCTTTCTTAACTGGCTAAATATTAAATAGATGAATTATCAGGCTGTTTAGATGCAGCCCCCTTTTTCCTCATCTCTTCTTCCTACCATAAATAATAATAAAAATACATAATGCATTATGGCTCCAGGCGTTTTCCAGCGCGGTGTGTTACCGCAGGAGTATCTGCTGAGTCTGCGGGTGTCTGCAAGGCCCCAAGTGTCATCTGCGGCTTAGGGTTTCATGGATTAGACTTTAAACGGTGTCTACCTCGGCTGACATAAGCTTCCTTTCACACTCATGCTCCAAAGAACTGTGGGGTTTGGGGCTTCCTCTCCAGGCAGCCGCAGCTGCCCGGAGACACCCCTCTTTAGTAGGGCGTAGGAGTTCGCTTGGGACAAATCAGCTCTCTCTCACCCCAGGAGGAAGGTTCCCCGAAGCTTCTGAGAATGGCTGGGATCCGTTCCTGCCGGTGGCGTGGTGTCATGCGATGGGTACACTAGGTTGTTCCAGGCGCGGGTGGGGGCGGTGTCGAGTCTCGCTGGGGAGGACGCTTCCGGCGCGGCCGCCGGCCAGGGCAAGAACGGGAGACCGCGGCACAGCCATTTAAAACTTCATAAATTATAAGCAAGCCGCCTTGGCATTTGCCATAAATTCTGCTTCTTTTGAGCCTGCAATTAGTGTTAGGAAGCGTCGTAGTCTAAACACAACCAAACGCCTTCTGATGGACCCAACTGCCCAAGGTTGCAAACCTTTATTTCCCAGTACCACTCCCTCCGCGTCCTGAGGTTTGCACATACAGTCGTTTCCTCCCTCGCCACCGCCGGCGGTACACACTGGGCTAGGTTCCCGCTCTGCGAGGGGAGGCCACAATAGCTGCTCTATCGGCGGAGGCGCCCTCCTCCTCTCCTGGGTCTCAGAAAAGCTGAGAAATAAGCGTGGGGGAGGGGAGCCCGGGCCCAGGCCTCTCCTACTTTCCAGTGTCGGGGGGAGGCCTCAGCGGAAAGGGGCAAGTTGGCAGGGGAAGGAAACCTCCACCCGAGCCCGTGGTTTGTTCCTGGGACGGGCGCGCAGGGGGCAGGAGTGAGCGCACGAAGGCATCGAGGCTACTGGCCTCTCCCCGCCCGGCGCTGGGTTGAGGGCGCCTGGAGCGGAGCATACAGGCTTCCGGGAGCGGCTGCGACTTTGTGTGCGGGGCTACTCCAGGCTCCGTGGTGGTGGGGTAGGGGAAAGGCCACACAAAGGCAGCGCTAGGCCGACTCCTGGAGGTGGGAAAGTCCGTGCTTCGCTCCAGGCATAGGTCTCAGAAGCTTATTTCGTTTGTTTTAGAGCAGAAAATGGCTCTTCGGCTCAGGCCTTGGCCAGCTCTGCTTTTTTCCTATACAGAACACTTCAGGGGGAGGTGGGGATCAGAGAGACTGGGGAGGATTCTCCTGAGGCCTGAAGAAAAGGGTCAGGGTCTCAAGCCCAGGCCCACAGATAGGGCAGTGCAGTCTTTGGGAGCCCCTGGTGGTTCTGTCCGGACAATCATATGTGAATTAAAGCAGAAAAGAGATAAGGTAGCAGGAATGGCTCGCTGAAAAATGGGAGATGGGGGTTGGGAAAAGAGATTTAGGCAGGAGAGCTCTCCCTGCCTACCAGGAGAACCTCAGGACCCAGCCTGCAGTGGAGTGAGGAGACACAGCTGAGCTAGGCAGGGGGAGGAAGTTGCAGAGGCAAGCTCTGAGGTCCTGGCCCCTGGGAAGGTGATCAATCAGAAGGGGCACTTAGGTGCATGTTCTGCTTCCCGGCTTTCAAACCTCACCCTCATCCAGGGAGCTGAAGGAGAAGAATCTGCCTCCGATGGAATTGTTGTTAACCATCCATTTATACCATTTTTTGGTACAAGCTTTCACATAAAAGAGAGAATATAGATCAAAATACTTTCCTCTGATGCAGCCCCAAGCTTAGTGCCTATCGGAGACACATCAACCAAACTGGTTTCTCAGGCCCCAGAGACTGCTAACCTTGCTGGACATGATTTTTCGAATTTCTGTCTGTAGGGAGTATTAAAAGATAGTGACTACCTATACAAGCTACTCCTCCCTTCTCTTTCCCCCATTCTGTACCAGCCAACTGACCCTTCAGTGAAGTGCATCTTCTCAGCCAGAGGGCTTGGGAACCTAGGCTCTCCATCTGTTGAGGTTTCTCATTAGGGAGGGTGAAGAGTATGTGTGTGGGTGTATGTTTGAATAACAAAGAAGGGAACCAACATTCTTATAGAAATGTTTTGCTGCTTGACCTGGGGAAGCTAGAAGCTGGTTTATACCATCAGTATTCAAGGGACAATAACAGGCCTGTTTGACTTTATCCTGAGAATTAGTTGAAACTTCCTTCTGAAGTCAAGAATTGGTTAATTCCAATGACAGATCTAGAAGGTCCTCTTCATCTGGGACTTCTTGGTATTGCTTTGGTCCTTTTTTCAGAAACTCTTTAAGAAAAGAATAGGATGAACAGACGTTTGTTAGTATTAAAGAAAAATAAAAAGAGAGTAAGGCCTGGTCCTCGCAGGCTTATAGCCTGATCACTTCAGAGCACCGCAACTTTCCCAAAGAAGGAATAGCTAGGGCCGGGGAGAGCAGACCTATCCCTAGACACTTTGTGCACAGGGAGCTGAGACTGAGTCACCAGTCACACATTTCTGAGGACTGGCTCACTTAGCTCTCTCTTGCATGGACAGAAAAAAGATGGGATAGATGAATCCTATGCACCGTACTCCACTGGAGGTGCTGTTGGTGGAGAGGCTTATCACAGAGGATGAATCTTATACTTTCTTCCCCTGTCTTCTACTCTAGATACAAATGTCCTTATCTTTGGCGCCCAAAGTTGGTGACAAATGACTTATATACCTGGTCTAAAGTCCATGCCTCAACACTTCCCTCAGGTCTAATACCCACCCTGGCAAGTTGGAAAAGTACACATTTAACCAAAGACCCATTTTCAGGCCAGGTCCAGCTTGAATCATAGTGAAGAAAACGTTTCCACCCATGAAAGAAGAACCAAGGTAAATGGATGTCCAGTTGTTTGCAGCTACAGCAGCAGGTAAAAGGTCCCCAGGAGATATGCAAGGTAGAAAATACTGCGTAAGTCTTCTTGTCTTAGATCTTGTGGCAAAATATCTTAAATGGTTCCCATAGCTAGTCTGGATCATTTTTGTCAAATAATAATAACTGGAGAATCATGAACAAAGGGTTTTAATATTCAACGTTCCTAATAGCCCAAGAAGAAATCTTCATTTAAATTAAGATTCATGGAGGACCCTGATAGACATGAGATGTTTTTGCCAGGGAAGCAGGCCTAAAACCAGGCCAAGAGGACTTGCTGGGCCAGGGCCTTTTTGAAGGGGGGGTGGGGGGAAGAGTGTCCCTTACTTATGGGACAGGAAGGTGGCCTTTTGATGTCTCTATTGTCCAAACCGCTGCCCTACAAACATCACAACCCTCCCCACCTCCTCCCCAAGGACCCAGAGGGAAGCTGGGTCGGTTGAGGGGAGCTCAAGGCAGTGGCAGAGCTGACATCAACCTCCCTCACTCCCCCCACCCCGCCCTTGCTGGGGCAGCAACGACGCCATCCCCGCCACAAAGTAGAAAACACACAAAGAAAGCTCCCACCCTACCTCGGACCTGGGGACACCCTGGGGAGGAGGCTGGCGTAGAACCGGAGTCTGGGCGCCTCCCTCCCCCCGCGGCGAACAATAGCCGCCGCCTCCACCAGGCGGTCGGGCGGTCCCGCGCCGCACAAAGACCGGCGGGGCCCGCGCCGCCGCGAGACGCGCGCGGGCTCTCCGCTCTCCCGGCCGGCGGCGGGGCGCCGGAGCAGCCAGGCTGGGGGTGGTGGGTGTTCCTGAATGCACCTGGAACCCTTTCGGAAAGACAAACGGTGAGTTAATCACCAACCGGCTGGTGGCCGCGTCCCCTCTCGCTAGCGGAGAAGCCTGGGGAGGGGGCTGGGGTGAAGGATTTCTCGGTTTGTGTCTAGGCTGGGGGGCGGGAGGGGTTGTTCCTATCAAGGGTTCATCAATCATCCGGTGTGCACTTTTCGTTCGACAGCCGTTCCTCCTACTTCAGAACAAGCCTGGGCCAGCTGGGATCCGACCAGAAACCGCAAGCGGAGGAGACGTGGGCACCCAGGGTGGGCGCTAACAGGGGGCGCGAGGCCGGAGGGAGCGCCAGCCGGTCACCTCCTCGCTCCGTGGCGGGCACCACCCGCCTGCGGACCACGCAGGGTGCCCAGGCCCCTCTGAAGACCCTACGCGACCCCCTGAAGGGGCCGAATCTAACTCTGATGGCAGGACAAGAAAAATTCCAATGCGTCAGAAGGTTTTTGCAGGCACTGTTTTATTTTTAAAAAGTCTGAAAAAGATGTCTGAGGAATTAGAATTCAGGGTATGGTCTGAAGTAGTTTGGTTGTCTTACTTGCGCATAGAAGTATTTGTGTATTTGGGAGGACGCAGGATAAGACCTCTCTGTTGAACTGGAACTAGACGAATGCCATTTAAAGTAACAATAAAAATGTACTTAAAACACCAACCACAATGATGTGCCTCTCCTCTCTTCTGATGTGAGGGAAGGACTGGAGTATTTTCACTTCAGCTCTTTTGGGTTCATTTTAGAAACACCACAGAGGGATAGACTGCAAATTGCTGGGAGAGGGGTCAGTCTTTCCTGTATTATACTCTTTCCCCTGTTTACAGCAGGAGGGCTTGGGTGAAGGTGGTGAAGCATTCTTATACTCCCTCTTGAGTGGTACATGTTGTTTTCTTTGTAAATTCTAGTTAAGTCTGGCTTACTCCTACCTTTTCTGAGGAACATCAGCTTCTAAGTTTCTGAAGTTCGGTAAATGTGTTGCCTCGGCTCACAGGAAAGAGCCCCCCGAAGGACAGAAAGTCCCAGTTTTCTCCCTTCTCCCCTCAGCCCTCTTCTCTGTCATCAGCTCTTAGTGGAAATTAACTTGCATTGAAGAGATGTTCTACTCTCATTTTGCTTCAGAGAGATATAAGCATTAATCCTTGCATGGTGTTCCGACCTAACTGAGCATTAAAATACTGGTTCTATTCTCCTAGGCTCAAAGTCTATCCCTCTCTCCTTACCTTTCACCAATATCTATGGGACAGCTCCTCTGTGCACTGTGCTGGGCTCTGGGTACAAAACTAAGTCACTAATGGTCTACACCCTTTAATCTACTGGGGGAGGAAAAGAGTTGATCCTAAAAAACTGTAACAGGGGTGTGGCCAAAGTGTTTCAGGAATAAAGAGGAGCCATTAACAGTATAATAGTGTCAAAAAAGGCTTCTCAGACGAGATGAATTTGGGTACCTGAAGTATAGGAGTTTAACAGGTCCAGGAAGGAGGGACATACCAGGTGGATAGAGTACCACATTCAAAAGCAGTGAGGAAAGAAAGAGCAAGGTCTGGACTTGGAACAGGGAGACTGGTTTAGAGTGGGGCCCCTGGCTGGAAGGAGAGGTTGTATAAAATCCATAGAAAGGAATCTGGACTTAATCTGTATCAGTAGGTCCATCTCTGCCCTCTCTTACAAAAGTAGCACAAAGTGGGGCCTCAGACATTTGGGGCACAAGGTTAGCAAACAAATCACAAAGGGAGGCAATGGGGAGCCACTCAAGGTTTTAAACTGGGATATTAGGTTATCTATTTGGAAATCTAACTATTGGGGGCACTATGTCTGACTGGAGAAAGGAGAGATAGGAGGCAAGAAGAACAAAAAGGAGGCTGCTGCAATAATCCAGCCTAAGAGGGGCTAATATAATAGAGATGAAGAAGAGAAACATTTAGGAGGATGAATTCCTAGGACTTGGTGATCAATAGGATGAATGAATGAGTAGTTATAGATGTTAATCCATAGGTTTCTGTGTTAAGGGCCTGAATGGGTAGTCAGGCTGTTCACCAAAATGAATAGAAGAGGGAGAAGAGAAGACTCTGCAAGGGAAGCTAATGAGTTCAGTTTTAGGTCTGCATTGTGTTTTCTGTTTCACTAATTGATGCATTGTGTGACCCTAAGCAATTCACTTAATATTTCTGGCCTTCAGTTTCATCATCAATGAAATCACCAATGAAGATATTTACCTCATAAGTATCAGTAGAACTCATGTGTGTGTGTGTGTGTGTGTGTGTGTGTGTGTGTGTGTGTGTGTGTACATTAGGCATTATCTTCACCAGTTTCAAGTGGGTGTCCTATACAAAGTTAGCCTAGAGAAAACATCCTCTTACCCATACCAAGTTGATCAATACTGAGATCCTGGGTGGCCAGTAAGAAATAAGTCTCAGGGAAATTATAAACAACACCCCATTGCTTCCCAGATATTGAATCCAAGCTAATTCTTAGGACTAGGTTAGGTCAGATTGCTAAACAGAGCCCCTCTGCTTCCAGAGAGTACTACTCTCCAGGGGATACATGCAGAAATGTGGTCTTGGTATTAGGCTAAGAGGAGGCCTCTTAGCAGATGTTAGAAAGCTTCTGTGCTTTTTTATATCATAGGTCTTTCAGTGAATGCTCGAAGCCACCCACTTTCTTTGAGTCTTCCTAAGCTTCTTTGTGGCACAGTGTAATATAGGAAAGAGTATTCAACACCTGACCTAGGCCATTTACACTGGGTTTGACTACAGGAGGGTGTTTATCTTTTCTGTGTCAGCATTATCATTTGTAAAATCGAATTATGAAAGGATCAAGTAAGATAAGGAAGAGTGACATTTTTTGGAGAGGGTAAGCAAAAGGCATTATTTTTCATTTAACAGACTGGTTAAAAATTTAAAAACTTTAATATACCACTGACTTGGCAAGGGTGTCAGGAAACAGGAATGCTCATTTGTTGCTGATAGAAATGTAAATTGATTCACTTCTATGGAGAAAAATTTAGCAATATGTCTCAAAATTGCCAGTACACATATTTCTAAGTAATTTTAAATCTATTAAACTTTCTAATAGGTAAACACTTGAACAGGTTTTTGTAATAGCAAGAAATTGAAAGAAAGCTAAATGCCCACTAATAGGGGATTGGCTAACCAAATTTTGATAGGTGTATACAGTAGAACAGCACGAAGTTGTAAAAATAAACCAGGGAGTTCTGTATGCATTTATATGAAATGATCTTCAAGTTATAGTGGGTAAAAGCATAGAGCAAAAGAGTCTAGTATGTTATCTGTGTAAAAAATTGGTGAGATACATTGTGGAAAGCAGTATGGAGGTTCCTCAAAATGCTCGAAATAGAAATACCATTTGACCCAGGAATTCCACTTCTAGGAATTTACCCTAAGAATGCAGCACTCCAGTTTGAAAAAGACAGATGCACCCCTATGTTTATCACTGCACTATTTCCAATAGCCAAGATATGGAAGCAACCTAGGTGTCCATCAGTAGATGAATGGATAAAGAAGATGTGGTACATATACACAATGGAATATTACTCAGCCATAAGAAAAAAACAGATCCTACCATTTGCAACAACATGGATNGGGGGGGGGCACGGGAGGGCTGTGCAACACAGAGAAGACAAGTAGTAATTTTACAGCATCTTACTACGCTGATGGACAGTGACTGTGAAGGGGTATGTGGGGGGGACTTGGTGAAGGGAGGAACCTAGTAAACATAATATTCTTCATGTAATTGTAGATTAATGATACCAAAATAAAATAAAATAAAATAGAACTAAAAAAATTGGTGAGATATATGTATGCATGTGTGTAATATATATAAATATATATATTAAAATTATATATACATAAATTGATAGGTATAAAGTATCTCTGGAAAGATATACAGGAAATTCATAAAATTGTTGCCTTTGAGAAGGTTGGCTGTGGACAGAGATGGGAAAAGATTTTCACTACATACCCTTTTGTACCCTTTGAATCTTGAACCATATAAATTTAAACTTACTAAGTATGCACAAAATAAAGGAGCAAAAAAATAAATGATCAATACAAACGTAACTGACCTGGGTGTTCCTGCATGTGTTCACACATGTCCTTATTTGTACTTGCTCTATCTAGCTACTTTAATCTACGGATACCTCTTGCTTTGACTCTCCATGGCCTAATGCTGATTAAGCTCAGCAGAGAATGAGGGCATTCTTACCTTTGTTTGGTGGAGGGGGTAGAAACACAGGTCTATCTCTGTGCTCTCTTACAGGAGTAGCACAAGGTGGGACATGGGGTTAGCAAACAAATCACAAAGGGAGGCATCAGGCTTCTCAGCCAGCAACACTGGCTGCATGGCCTCTCAGAAAATGGTGCCTCTGGAACACTGCTCTGCTTGCTCAGCATCTGAGGCTGCCACAGCACAGAGAAGGGGCTGCCTTGCTCCCCACTTTCTGCAGACCATGGAATGGTAGCAGGCTGTGAAGAGTCAGGAGACCCAAGCTGGTGCCCTCATTTTTTCTAGGATGGCTTTACCTTTTAACCTCTGAGTAAAGTGACTTTCCCAAAATGAGTGGTTTGATGTCATTTATATCTAAGGGGCTTTATGGCACTAACATCTATCTTACGCTGTGAAAGGTCAATCTTTAGCCAGAGGAAGGGTTAGAGTCAAGGGACATTTCCCCCTTCTGGATTCCTGGGGCTCAAATGTTCATTCCAATTTGGGAGAGGTGCAAGGAAATGAGAGCTCGTCATTCCTACTTCTCCCTCTCCATTCCTACTCCCTTCTTCCCATTGTCTCAGAACAACTCTAAATTTTCTCTGAAGAGAAGAATCTCTTTGACTTCCTATCACACTGGTGTCCTCAAAGACAAGTTAGGGAAGTGGTAGAGAGCAGACAAGAGCCAGGTCTCTACAAAGTACTGTTTTGTCAGCAAAACTTGGGAAACTCCTAAGGATATTTGCTGAAACTTCAGCCCAACTAGACTTTAGTTTGAGCTTGACACTGACCTCTTCATCCCTATGACCCAACAGGCTTCTGGACACTTTTCGGATACACTCATGTTCCAGCTAGCCATTAGCTCTCATTGCGCTGGTAAAGGGCCCCTCCCACAGAATCACCTGTCTCTCTCCCCACTGAACCCCCACCCTGTGACTTCTAAAGCAGAAATTCTCAAGAACCTTGCTTTAGAATCACCCAAGAGACTTATTAAAAATAAAGACTCCTGAGTCAGACCTACTGGATTGAAATTTCTGGGGGTGGGCTGAGGAACCTGCACTTTTAAACAAGTTTCTACAGTGATTTCCACCCACATGAAGGAGGTTGGGGAGCCAATAACCTAAGTATATCCTTTAACCAATACTCATCACGGTAAAGACACACCATTCTACCCATATTTATTTCTGTCCAGCTTACCGTGAACTGGCACAGGCGTAACCTGTGGGCCTTGTGTTCGCAAAGCTCTCAGGGAAAGGGCAGAGCACTTTAAACTGTTTTGTTAGGGAGGCTCCTGTTATTTAACTTCAGGCAGGTTTAGAATTCCTGTCCCTGGGATCCCTTTCATGCCCACCGCCATGCTGCAGAGAACTGCAAATCTTGCTCATGAGAAAAGGCCTCTCTTCTCCTGCCCCTTCCCTTTTTCTTGCCAATAAGCAAGAGCCTTTCTATCTTTTGGGATTATGGAGCCAAGACTGCATGTGCTCAAATGTCTCCACAGGTTAACGTGGTGGGGTGTGCAGAGAGAGGTTGTAAGGTTTCTTAGGAACCACTGTAAACACACAGAAGACCAGACTGCTCCCCTCCATCACTTCAGCCTTGCAGAAATGAAGCATGTTGTTCAAATGGGAGAGAGAAACATAGTCATGTAGGGTGGTTATGGGGTGGGTGCTGTTGTGGGCAGGATGGGAGAGATTTCGAAGCATTCTTACATCAAACACCACCTAGCAATCAAGCTCCTTTGCTGTCACCTCCTGCTGAGAACTGAAAGCACCAGGACCTAGCAGGGCAAGTCACCCTCAGGAATTCATGACTTGGACAAGCAATAAAATTAGTAAGCTATTTCTCCCAAACCTTGTGAACATCTAGGATACAAACTTTAGAGTTACTCAAAATATCCTATATTCACATATTCCTACATACACTTCCTCTAATAATATCTTCATATAGCCTCCTTAAAAATTGGATATTCAGACGATTCTGGAGTAAATTTATAGTATAGCTAAGACCTGTGCCAGGAATAAATCCCTTGTTCCTTTGGTTTGAGAATATCTTTTCCCAGACTCAGCCTCTTGTAACAGAATGCTCTTACACAACAGATCTTTGGCAAATGCTTGTTGAATCTGAGTCTGAAATAACCAGGGTTTTGACTTCCAACTTAAGCAAGTCAAGAGCCAGCCCAAGAGTGGAAATGGCAACTCTGAGCCCCATGGTATATGGTATGTCAAGACTGTGAGATTAAAGGTAGTAGAAGGAAGGAAGAACAAAATATAACTCTGTGTATAATTATCAGGAAATTGCTGTTGGGTCTGAAGAAATACTGAACAATTGTTTAAAAATCACATTCTCTTTCAGGCCATTTTTTCTCTCATCAACAAAAACTCAGTCTAAAACTTTGCTTTAGGGAAATGGTGTGGACAGCTCATGGGAGCATCAAAGCCAATGCTTACTTGTAAACTGGAAGGACCCAACTTTCCAATTGCCCCAAATACTTAGTAGAAAAATCCTGGTCTTTGTTTCAATGCAGGTTGCCAAGGAAGCTAGTTGACCTGTTTTTCCTGAAACCTTACAGAAAAGGCCCTTAATTTGATAGGTTTTGGTCAGATTTGCCAGACAATCAGGCAGGGTTTTCTTACATCCAGGATTGCAGCCAGCTGGACATCTTTTCCAAAAAGGTTTATAAGGCCATCCATCCTTCTTGACCCCCTGGGGCCTCTGGGCCTAGGAGTTGTGATTAAATGAGTATCTTTTGAGATAGGTGTGTAAGAGCTGGGACATGCTGGTAAAATTGGCTATTAAAGTCTGGCCAGGGTGGTCACTGTGAAGTGCGCAGTGCCTGGCTTGCTGATACTTTTCCATTAAGGGCACAGAGCAGGGACAGTGAAGAAACGTATTTACATTTGAAGACTGGATTAGCCCTTCATTTCCCAGCTAAGGTGCTAGAGTCTTTATTTTTCTCTTTTTCAAAACTATTTACAACCTTTGTCATCAGAGTGGTCATGGTTACAGGAGAAAACTGAAGTAGCAACATCAAGTTTGAAGGGCTATTTTCAGCACAAGACTTTATTTCCTAGTCAAACCCAAACCCTCCCGCTTTGTGCTCATGCCTAGGTGTACCTCCCCTCTCCCCACCTTGGCTCAACTTCAGCCTCACCAGCCCTAACACATTTGGTGTGGTTTTGTTTATTCACAAGTTCATATCCCTGCAAGGAACCGGCTTCCTGGACTGTGATGGCTCCTATTTTCCAGACTTCCCCAGAGTGGAACTTTAGGCCTAGACTCAATCGCTCTTTCATGACAAGTGGATCAGTAAAACAATAATAAAACCTTGATCACCTTAACTAAGAGGCTGTAATATATCAAGTTCTCAAGGACACTTGAATAAGCCAAGAGTAGACTCTTTATTCGCAGACTTTTAGGAAACCAACTTCTTTTGTTACTGCTGTGTGTAATACTTATTAAATTGTTATTTTCCTTACAGCCCCCAAAGAAGGAAACATTAAAACAAATGTTCAAGGAAGCTAGAAAGTTTGTCAATGTAGAGCTTGTCTCTGTAACCTTCTATTCTTCATTTCCTGTGCCAATTGCACTTTTATTTCCCGTCTCTCTACACTCAGTAAACAAAACCGTATTATCAAGGGAAAGACGTGAGCCCATTAACATTGTAAACCCTCAGATTTCACTCGCAAGAGACGACGCAGCACTTATCTGATGGAACAGAAGCTTTAATTGCTTCGAGGTACAAGCCTGTCCAAACCTCTGAGATCTGACTCGTCCCTGCGAAGCCTTTGTTTGCATCAGAAGCCAAGAGCCTCAGAGAAAGGGTACGCAGCGCCAGTGCGTGTGCCAGCCTCCCAGAGAGGACCCCAACCACCATTCCACTACAAGGGCAGTCTTTATTTTGACAACCTAGTCAACGGGGGAAATCTGCTAAACTTCCCCACAAGGCAGAAACTTTATCTTCTGTCCGAATAAAAAACCTGCAGCTCCACACTCACCCTTATGGATGGAGTGAAAGAAGCTGAAGGGAATGTTGCAAAGCAACGTGAAAATCTAGTCTAAAAGTGAAGATTTTGTGCTATCCCAGGAACACAGCACGTGCAGCATAAAATTTAGTCCTGTGAGTCGGAGAGAGGGAGAAAACGAGGGAAAATCAAATATTACTACGGTTTAGGCGAGGGATAACACCAGTGCCAAGAAAAAACGAAAGCGCATAGGACTCAGAAAAAAGGGAAGAGAAATAACTTCACCTTCTCTGGAGAAGCGCTAGGAGCCGTCCCCGAGAGCCGAACTCCACGCTCTCTCTTTTAACCCCTCCCACACCTCTGCGGCCGCAGTCTACACCCGCGGGACTAACCACCCACGATGCAGAAAAACAATCTCTCGCCCCGTCCATCCTCTCGCCCTCACCCCAGCGGCCAGCCTTGCCTCTCTTTACCCTTCTCCTCCAGTACCTGTCCAGGGAGCCGGCGTCCTGCGCTCTCGCCCGGTCCTTCCCCGGGCAGCTCTTGGGCCGCGCCGGCTCGTCCTGGGGCCTGGGGGCGCGGGGCGGTGGCCTCCCGCAGGTTTGGCGAAGTTGGCGTTGGGCAGACGCGTGGAGCTGAGCGCCAGTCGGAACCCTGGCCGTGCGGAGAAGGTGCCCATTGGCCGGCCGGCACCACGTGGCCACCCCCGCTGCTATATTAGGCCACTATTTACCTTCCTCTGGTTTGCCATGGCACGGCATAGGCTGCTCGGGTAGAGAGGGAAGGCACAGCGGCGCAGAGTGCGGCGGTCCTGCCCGGCCCCGCACCCCGGCCCCGGCCTGCGCGCTCAGGTGGGGGGACCGGAACCATGAGCTCCTACCTCCCTCGGTGCAGCGGCGGCAGCGGCGGCGGCGACGTGCTTAGCTTCGCGCCCAAGTTCTGCCGCGCCGACGCCCGTCCCGTGGCCCTGCAGCCCGCCTTCCCCCTGGGCAGTAGCGACGGCACCTTCGTCAGCTGCCTGCCCCTAGCCACGGCCCGACCTGCGCCTTTGCCCCCGGCTGCGCCCGCGCAGCCTGCGGTGCCGCCTGCGTCCGCGCCCCCCTATGGGCCGTGCACCCTGGAGGGTGCCTACCAGCCCGACGCCGCACCTGCCGCAGCGGGCGTCGCAGATTACAGCTTCCTGGGGCCCGGGCCCGCGTACGACTTACCGGGCTCACTCGGGAGGCCGGCCGACGACGGCGGGGCTCACGTCCACTACGCCGCCTCGGCTGTCTTCTCGGGCGGCGGCTCCTTTCTCCCCAGCGGCCAGGTGGATCACACAGCCTTCGGCGAGCCCGGCCCCTTCCCGGCGTGTCTTAAAGAGCCAGCCGATGGCCACTCTGGGGCCTTCCAGACCGCGTCCCCGGCCCTCGGCGCCTACCCCAAGTCCGTCTCTCCGGCCTCTGCCCTCCCTGCCGCCTTCAGCACCTTTGAGTGGATGAAAGTGAAGAGGAACACCCCAAAGAGAAGTAAGTACTTGGGCCCTGGACCGACAGCTTTGGGGCTGGGGACGGAGTCTCTTCCGCGGAATTGCGCTGGGAGCGCGTTGGAGCTGTTACTCTGGAAAATTGGGGTTTATGGAAGAAACGTGTTTCGAGGCTTTGTTAAAGTAGGCGAATTCCACTGAGCGTGCCCCGAGTACAAGCTCCGAAGATGTGCTAGGCACTGAGAAAAACTGCAAGAAGGAGCTCTCTGTGGAGCGTGTCTTCTGGCACAACTGTGTTCACAGAGACCCAGGACGGCTGCGCTGTGACTCTGATTCTAACTGTAGCCCCAGTGCCCTCCCGAGTTCTGCCTCCGCGACCCCTCGCTCCACTGACACCCTGTCTTTACGTTGCAGGCAAACTATCCGAGTTTGGAGCCGCTAGCCCCTCCAGCGCCATCCGAACGAATTTCAGCACCAAGCAACTGACAGAACTGGAAAAGGAGTTTCATTTCAATAAGTACTTAACTCGAGCCCGACGCGTCGAGATAGCCAACTCTTTGCAACTGAATGACACCCAAGTCAAAATCTGGTTTCAGAACCGCAGGATGAAACAGAAGAAAAGAGAACGAGAAGGGCTTCTGCCCTCAGCTACTCCTGTGGCTTCCCTCCAACTTCCCCTCTCAGGAACAAGCCCCACTAAGTCTGGCAAGAACCCGGAGAGCCCTTCTCAGGCCCAAGAGCCCTCATGAGGTTTAGTCTGGAGGAAACTTGGCCTGCAGAAGTCATAGGCCACCACCTCTGTCTAGTTTTACTAGTGCAGTTTGGGATGGAGATGGGCATGAGCAGAAAGGAATAGAAGTTTCATTTGGGAAAGGAAATATTTTAGTCGACTTCTGAGTTCCAGGCTGTGGTTGTACAGATATTAATTTGAGGTCTGTTAAGCCATTCATTTGTGTATTTGTGTCTTATCAGGGAAAGGTGCCCAACCACCAGCCCTGCCCTGCTGCTATGTTGCCTAACTTAGTCATATGCAATTCTTGGGTGCAGAGTGGCAGAGCATGAGTTGCTGAGCTGTGCCAACCATCTGATGTGCTAAGAAGAACATCTACTCATTTCTGTCTTTAATCTAAAGGACAAGGCTCCATTTATTCAGCTTCATGAGATGACCAAAGCTAGTCAAGGCCTCCCTGATGTAGCTAAGCTGCTGCAATGATGATACTCACATTTGCACTTCAGTTTCTTTTTTTTTCACTAAAAAGCAGTTTCTACCTCTTCATGTGCCTGAGTGAAGATACAATCACTGTTTAGTTAGTAGCTGAACAAATCCACAGAGTGGGTTAAGACTAGAGCCTGAGTTACACCTTGATACCAGTTACTTAAACTTGAATGTAAATATATACAGTATGTATATTTTTAAAAATGTTTGCTTGCAATGAACTTATATATGACATTTAATGTCAGCATGTAAAGGGTTTGAACTTTTTTTTTGTAATAAAAATTACAGAATCTGTTCCTGTCTGTTTTTCCTTACTCCTTTTATTTTGATTATCTTTCTTTAAAGCTGATTGAGTTTCTTTCTTCTCTTTGGAATTTCTCGATTCTGCTATGAGAATTTGTTTAGTCAATAGCTTAAAAAATAACACTTCTTACAGGTTGTGTACACAAACAACAAGTTAGGGACAATTACCCGGGCAGTTTAACGGAGAAAAAATGACTCTGCCAAATATCCACCTAAGAAAGTACTTCTTTACCTTAGGTGCTCTAGTTTTATACTAAATACGTAGACAGCCCATTATCTCAAAGGTTGGGTGTCCCCTGTGGGATAGTTGTAAACCTAGGACACTGTGGAGAGTGCGCCTTACTCTTTTGTCGCCTGCTCTCACAAAAGGGAGAGGAAAAGCTATCTGAAGACTTTGTTGGTTCCTGTTCTCTGAGAAAGGCAGCTGCACATCAAAACGCCCTTAATGGCAGAATTCCCATTTCCAAAGCCAAGCATTACAAAGGAGACTGGCAGAGGCCAGAAGTCAGACCTTTCCACTTCCTGTAACCCTGACTGAGCATCTGGCTTTTCAAGAGAGCACAGAAGTGCTGTTTGGGTTTTAAAAATGAAATCTTTTCAAATGAATTTTTTGAACACGAAGGACGAAATTTGAAAGTTGGCAAGAGGGCATGTACTAAAAAACTTCCTCTCTAAACTTATTTCCATCCGGCCCCCCACCCGTGATTGATCAGGCCCTTCTGCAAACTTACAGAAATAGTATATGAAAAAAATGCAATATTAATACACAAAGTCAAGTGGATATTTGGAACAATTGTCAGGGCAGGTCCTTTTCCTCACTTTATAGACAGATATAGCTGAATCTCTACATTCTCTGTATAGTTCAATTGAAAGGCCTAAAGGCCCAAGTAATCCACATAAGAGTCTCAGTTCTCCCGTTAGATTTCTAGATTCTAGTGTAGTGCTACTTGCAATCTAATAATTCAGAAATTTAACAACTGTAGAGGATTACTTTCCCTATAAGACAGTAATGTGATTGTCTTAGAAGTTTGAAATAATATTTAAATTCCTGTCCTTTGCACTCTCTGTTTAATGGAATTGAAGAAATAAAATTATGAGCTCTAGTAACTCAGCTGGTTAGGGGGAAAAGATACCACTTAAAAAGCAGGTCTGTCAATATTATTCTTGTATTTCACCATCTGTGCTTCACTAACTTGATGCTAATCGGATCTTGTTTGAAACAACAGCCCTTCCCACCCCAACCCTCCCACTCTCAGCTCTGTAGCTTTTTGGAAGGACTTGTTAAAGGAATTGTAATCTGCTTGCTTACAGCCACCTCTGGGCTTCCCCTGTAGTGGTGTTTGACAATACTATGCTTCCTTTTTGATAAGCATTCAAATGTACACCTAAACAAACAAATAAAAAACACAGGCTTGGTCATTTCCTTGATCTACCACCCTCTTCTCTGAGAAAATAAAGCTTTTCCTTTTGAAACACTTATGGCTGATGGATGTCTCCCCTGATGAAGGTGGCTATTTTGACACACACACATAATGCTGTTCTATGAATCAGGCCAATATTAGCTGTTTTTTGGCCAACCCTAGGGATCTTTAAAAGCTTTCTTAATGCAGATCACTATACAGCTATATTCAGTATAGGGAGAGTCCTGGCTGGAGATGGGGATGAACTAGGTGACCTCTAGAGGTTCCTTCCAGCAATGAAAATGCTACAGAAATAATTCAATGACTTCCGCACATTTTATTTTAAGTGTGTCATTGGAAGAAAGAGAGTTCAGTTCTAAGAAAGCACATGCAGTCCCTAGGATTACAGTGATACTGTGTTCATACAGGAAAAGTGCATTTTAGACATTATTAAATACATCTTGTCAGAGGTACCTAGCCCATGCGGATCGGTTATGGAACATTCCCCTTATCATTATTCAGAGTCGTGTGTTTTATTAGTCAGATTGTTCATGAAGCATGGTGGTTACTATGCAAACTGTGAAACTGCTAAAACAATCCCACTTCTATGTTATAAGAATTCAAACTAAATATGCTAATATACCATCCAGAGATCTGTTATTAGAATGAATACACAGTGGACAGTTCTGTATAAATAACTATTCAATGTTCCTTTGTCTTCAAAGAACAATCATGTGTCTGTTTTTCTAGATTCGGGATAGTTGGGAGTGTGGAAGAAGAAATAAAGCATTTAATAACATAAAATTTCCATTACTTGAGTACTAGTGAGACAGGGACTGTGGGTGTAGGCAGAGTAGGATGAGGGCCTCTGGAAAAAAAGGCAATGCAAGATAATTACAGACAGAACAATGTAACAATGTGCAAAGAAGTCCCTATAGGAACTCTGTGTTAAGCATTATGCAAAATCAGGGTCACACTAAATCTCTAGGGTAAAGATACCAGACTAAGAATCAGTGAAATCAGTTAAAGCTCAAAAGGCCAGGAGCAATTTAGCCTGGAATGTTTGAGTGTTCCCCAGATAAAGAAAAGTATCTCAGCACAACCCGTGACTTTATTGTATCAATTAGATCACAACACTGTAAAATTTACCTTAGCCTGCTAAGAGGCCCAGCTTAGTTTTAACTGTACCTGTATGCTGTGTTCCCTTCTCTAATCCTAATCAAGTAATCTGCAACCTAGGCAAAAGATTAATTTATTAAGCAAGCCAAGCTATAAACAGCTCAAAAAGTTAAGTAAGATTCTTAACACATTCTAGCAAACAGGCAGCGGCCTAGCCCACCTTGGGGGCAGGGAAGGTGGTCTTCACTGATATGCTCCCAGAGGGAAACTGCTATCTGAGAAAGAATCAGAGCAGCAAATTTCTTCCACTCATCAAAAATGAGCATTCTACAAGTCTGCTCCCCTAGCCCTTTAGCCCCATTCCTGAAAATCCTCAACCAATGATAAGTCCCCTAGACAACGCACCACCGTGGACTCTCTTGTCCCCTCCTGGCCTGAGTCAGGAGCTCTGTCCTCTCACTTTATCTCTAAATAAAAAACTCTACCTTGCTCTCCTACTTTGAGTGTTTGTGAAGTTCATTTTTTTGGCTCCATGAACAAGAACCCCAACATCACTAGCAAACGAAAGACGTGCTAATGTAAAAACCTAAAGCAATGTCACCTATACCCTCAAAAGATTAATTGATATCTTCTGCCTCAATCTCAAATATGGTGAGGCCCAAGACCAGAAGAGGCTATGTCCTATTAGCATGTCAGCAAAAAATAGGAGCAGATGCAGGAGAGTTGTGTTACCTCCGAAGTTCTTAATTATTTTTCATGGCTGCAAAAATGCCCTATATTTATTGAATATTGAATTAGAAAACCTCAGGACCTAATCAGATCAGAGAGATATTTAATCTGGCCACAGACCTCTCAATAAGAAAAATGCCAGTTGTTAAAACTTTACTTGTGGTTTTAAAGTGAAACCATACTGGACATATCTCACAAATAATGATCAATCTCCATTTAAATAGAAATCAAGATTTTCATGGTTTTGACTTCTATAGCATATTTCCAGGACATGTACATGCAAAAAACATACAAAATAGTTCTGTATGATACCTCACTTATAACTGCTTCTGAAATTATACTTGTTATGGGGAAATATAATTTCAACAGAAACTTTAACTAGATTCAATAATGAGCAAAGAGGAAAGAAATCCTAAATATTGGTATGAAAGGATGGTCTATTTCTTAAATTGCAAAATTTTAAACATTATCTCTTCTACTTCTAATGGTCTTACTGATATAATTTATAAATATAAAGAATGGCCAAAGAGTGGTTATTTGGAGGGTCACTGACACTTTTGAGGCATTTGTAGGGGGTGCTAGACTATTTAGCACATCCCATTCTTAGGGGGTTTGTAGAACCTGAACTGCAACTTGTGGGGACCTCTTTAAGAAAAAAGCAACATCAAAATCATAAGTACAAAATTGCCTGGGCACCTCCCAGGACCTGGAAGGGCCAGAGTTAGAGAAGCTTTAGTTTCAGTGGGTTCGTAGTAAATCCATTTCTGCCCCTTCCTGAAACTGGTGTGCCATTCCCATTGCCCAGCCATTGCTTGTAAAATAATAGCAATGATTGCTTTTCTCTACCGTCTTGGAACCAGAATTACTGTTTGCCCCTCTTTGAGTGCATCAAAAAGTAGATAATGCAGACAAGGGCAGACTGGGGCTCTGTTCTATTCTCTGAGCATCACAATCTCACTCTGCTCAATCTGGACTGCTGGCTGGCTGATTTGCTTCATTGCCTCACAGTGGGAGATCTGTCTCATGCTGGAGGTCCTTTTCTGTTGTGTTTCCTTCTGAGTGATACAAACAGAACAGAAATAGAGAGCTGGAGATGATACCTCCCCTGGTTTCGGTTTCTTCTGTAAAACAAAAGAGTGTTGGTCTGGATGACCATTAAGTTTCCTTATCACCTTCCACAATCCTTTCCTCTGCTGGTTATTATTGAAACATTTACTTAACAATAATATAGCTCTGTGAGATTAGCATCAACAAGAGGCTGTTATTGAAGTCATATCTGAGGCCTTTACAATCTAATCTGTCTATAGCTTTGAAGGTGTGCATGTGTGTGAACTAGTGATTTACTCACTGGTCTTGACCTGATGAACTAAAAAGCTCACAGTGATGATAGGCCCTGCCAAAGTGGCCACTTCCTTTTGAACAGATAAATTGGGTCTGATAAGAGACTTTTCAAATGAGGTGTCAAAACTTCAGGTTCTCAGTCTCCTTGTCCTTAATTCTATCAGAATAATAGTAAAATAATTTTGAATTCCTCTTCCTTTAAGATATGTGGGATTTCAAAGGAATTACAATGTTCTGTTGAAAAAAAGAGGTGTGGATAACCAACTTGTTCCTGCTTTTCTTTAGTCACCAAATCCTACCTGGTTTCCTGAAAATGCTCATATGTTTTTTCCTTCTCTGCTGGTTTAGGCTTTATCATCTCT